GCTTCTAATTTACCTCCCTAAACAGAATAAAATAAACTCATCCACAAATTTCTTTTAATTTCATCAAAATGTATTTACAATGTTTACAATAAGTATATGATCCAAAACAGATAAAGAAAACAAATAGCCATGACTATATAAAAATTGGGGAAATGCCTAAATCAAATTATGAATGTTTATCTACTCAACTGGCTCTTTCCCTTTCCCCTGACCCGAAATAAAAAAGCAAAATGGGTTTGAGCCAATATAGTTCAATAGGTCACGCCCATCTATCTAAATTTTCAAACAATTTATTTATTATGTATTTAACTGAATATAAAAGCAGTTCATAAAAAATGTATTGACTAAGCATAATATTGATTGCAAATATCTGAAATAAAATATATTGTGCACTAAAAGTAAATAAAAATGCACTTCATATGTCAGAGCAAAAAAGATAGATTTTTCTCAGGCCCTTATACCTTCCATTAGAAACATGCCTGACTCACATGTTAGCATATCAGGCTCTTATGACTCCCAATGCTCAACACATATCATATATTTAAATATTTTGGCCCTTATAACTCCCTGTGTATTTAGCATCAGAACGGATGTGCATTTAACACCAGAATAGAGCTTTTCCCATATATCATATCTCCTCATAATCACATATTCAAGCAGATAAGCATATATATCATTGCATTGCAATACATGAAATATAAATAAATAGCTTGTAGAAATTCACAGTGTGCTATATCAATAGATTACAATTTCAACAAATGAGTAGAAAAGCAACATTTCAAAAGATTACATGGGATTGTTCAAAATATTATTTTGAAGCTTTAATTGTACTGCAATATTATTTTTTGGGACTAGAATTATTTTATAAATAAATAAAATAATGTACTTTTCAAACTATCTGGTGAAATTTTTTTTAGAAAAATATTTAAATATTTTGAATAATATTCTCTATAACATACATAAAATTACAAGGTAAAAGTTTTAGCGGTAAAAAGTTATTCTCATCTGTTCTATTGGAATTATAATTTAAATCTAGAAAATCTCAAAATTCTCATAATTTTAAAAACTGAGAGAAACAAAATATAACATACCTTGAGTCGGACAACTTTCAGAACTGGGTTGTCGGCAGTAGCAAGTGGACCGGAGTTGCCCAAACCCTAATTTTCTCTCTCTAGAAATATCCTCTCTCTAGTCATCTACCCAAATGAGAAATGGGTTTGGAATAATGGAAAATGATATTTTAAATATAAACTTTATGCCTGATGTTGTGGCGCCCAAACCTGTGCACCGCAGCACTCCCCTTATTGGAGCACAGCGTTGCAGTGCCGCCACTAGCATCGCAACGCACAATCTATTTTGGCTAAAACAGAGAGCTCAACGCCGCGACGCTGCAATGCCCTATGAAGAAAATTTTAATATTTTAAAATCGAGCACACAGACCTCCAGGACCTACTTTAGGACAGATTCAGACACATATGCATATAAAACATTCCCAAACACATGCAAAATGGTTCAATCATAGAGATTTAACGAGTTACTTTTATCATGTCGAGTCAGAATAGATACAACTGTACGTAGATTCGACATATGTTATAGGTAAAGACTTTATTGGGTTGATGGGGATGCAAAGGTTATGCTTCATTTTCTATTCGATGAGATGAAGATCCTTCAACAGAAGTTGGTGAAGGAATATGAAACTGATGGTGATATGAGTTGATAGTGTTGTTTTCTTGGAGAGGTCAAATAGGAGAGATATTTTATCAAAAATGTTTTGAGATCTTTGGTTCATTTTTCTCAAATGATCTTCCATTTGATCTAGTTGCTCATAAGAAATTATCTTGTTGCTCCTCTTGCATACATTTGTCTCAAATGATCTTCCATTTGATCCGGTTGCTCATAATCAATTATTTTGTTGCTCCTCTTGCATATATTTTTTTTCTTTTCATCCAAGTGATTCATTACTTCATTTCTTTTTCTAGATATCATTCATACTCATCGTAGAGCATGTTGGATTCAAATTTATCCATAAATGACATCATAACTTTATTAACCAACATAGATAGCTAAATTGAAAAAGAAGAAAGAAAGAGAGCCTAGAAAGAGAAGCTCTAGGGTTTCATTAAGTTGTTAGAAAATGCAAATTTATGTGGAGATATAACTTGTATCATAAACCTATCATCTGACTCCTTATTTATTGATTTGAATCATCAAAGCTTAACAGCAAATTACATAGAGAATCCATGGTGAATGTCAAAGTAAGGGATGAGTTCTTTGCAAATGAAGCTTCTAACGAAATTGTCGACAACTTCACTTCAAGTTGCGAGTAGCTTTGGTATGCTTTGGGAGAGTTCATTTTATTAGTTTTTCATTGGGTGAATGACCTTTTATGACTTCAATCAGTGTGATTATTGCTGAATAGAACTTTACTCTTGTGACTTTAAATAATAAATGTCGAGTTTCTTGTTGAGCTAAAAGGTGACTTGCTGAATGTTTCTATAAGCGATTTGGTTAATGAATGGCAATGGGTTTAACTCAGTTCATTATAGTTATGTAATTTGATTAACTCGGTCCAAGTAATAATGGGTTTTTAATGATGAGGTCATCGACAGACATTTTAGGCAGGTTTACCGGCGAAGGAATCGTAGATCGACGGCTACGATTGGGAGTTTATATTTCTGATGTTGCCATGTCATCTTATGTTATTTTTCTATGTTATTTTCTATGTATCTTTTATTTCAAGCATTAGTGACTATGTTGCCCTTATGAAGGCTTAGTGTTTGTTGTAGCCTGGTGGGCATGTGAGTCATTTTATTTTCATGTTTTGAGGCCTTTATAAAGAGGTCTCCTCCTATTGTATGAGCTTAATGTTGAATTAATAAAATTTTCTGAAATTTTCCCTTTGTCTTCTTGCTTGAGAGCTTGAGAGAAAGAGAGGAGACCTAGGAGAGGCTCCACCCGAAATACCCAACAGCCCACGACGGTGAGCTCTTGGTTTACTTGTATTATTGCTGTTTTCTTATTCTCCCAGCACCTTTCCCTTACACCCGCCCCCTTCCCCTTGCTCTTTGGCCCGTTTCTTCCCCATCCCTGCAGCCAAACCAGCCATTTCCCCATAGAAATCCCACCGCCTCAACCCCTCCCCCATTCCACTGCCGCTGGCTGTGCCAGCTGCCAGTACCAGCTAGCCACCACCCCCTTAGCCCAGTCCTCCTCTTCCCTGGAAATCCCGCCGCCCCATCCCCTTTGAAATTTGAATTTCATGCGTTAATTCCATCATTAATTCTTTCCTAAAATAACGCCTTACATTTAGGAAGAGTTTTAAATGAAATCTCATCAGTTTTGAATCCAAATTTCAAATCTCCCTAATTGATTAAAAGCCTGAAATTTAAATCGGGTTTTAATTTAGTCCCATGGGCCTCACTAATTAATCAAATTCCTTCTCTCCCTCCCTTGCTTGGCCGGCCACCCATCTCACATATTCTCTCTCTACTTGCCACCTAAGCACCCACTAATTACCCTCATAACTCCCCCCCTAATAGCCGCCCCTCTCTCTAACCCAATTTAGGGAGAAGTAATGGCAAAATAATCTCTCCCTCCAATTCTAAAAATCTGAAATTCAAATTCAGATTTCCTCCTAGCTAGATCTCCCTCTACTCACCTCTCCATAGCTCACGGCCCAACTCTTCCCCTCTTTTCTTCTTGCCATCCCCTCAATGTTGAATGGCGGATCCCGAATTTGAGTGGGGGCTTGTGTTCAACGCCGACGGTAGCCTCAACATCCTCCGATCCCCGTTCTTTGACGCGGGGTTTGAGCACGAAGACACAGTTGGCGAATACTTGGAGCGAATTCTTCCATCACTTGTGCGCGTCATCGACCGACAGTTTCAAGACTATGTTTGGACAATCACCGGGCGCCATCCACCACCACTTCCACCGGCGGCTACCTCTCCAGTAACGAAGTCCTTCGTCTCCTTTTCCGTAGTGGTGCTCTCCATCTTCGTGTGGTTCTTTCTTCTCCGCTAAAAGCCAAAGAGTGAACGAGTGAGAGGGTACTCAAGGTGAATTTTCTTATTATTAATCGTGGGATTTTTGTTATAAGCATTTAAGTATTTCTTTTATCTTTGAAGGTTATGAATTGTTTGGTTATCTCAAAGCAACTCCTCGCCTAAGCAAGTTGATTACCTATAATACTTTTAATCCTTCCTTTTTTTTTTTGGTGATAAATTTGTATTGGCAACACTCTAATTAATCTTCATTTTAATTTCCGCACGCAATTCCTTTATTGTTTCACATCATTTAACCTCTATAACTTTATATGCTAGGTAATGTTTATTGGTTATTTAATAACGCCATCTATAAGAGCATCACTACCTTAACTTGGGGAGATTTAATTTCTCTTAAATGCAATGAAGTCAAATTCTTGAAAGTTTAGGTGAATTTTTGTATAGTAGCTCGAGTAACATCAAGGAACTCTAATGTAAAGGAGCACAACTAGGATATGTGGCCTCATTGGGAAGTTACATGAACAGAATAAAGATGTAATTTGTGAGGACAAAGTAGATAATATTTCAATGAATGATTAGTCAAGCTGGTACATGTCAGCTCCAATGCTGAATGAAGGAAATTCAAATATTTTTGCTCAATTTAACAATTGTTGGCAAAAAGCTACGATTTTCTTGTAGCAAAATCTCAGTTCATGTACATATACTTTCTTCGGTAGCTATACAACATATTTGCTTTTGCAGGGCGGTTTTACGTGAATGTGTGGATAATATCATTATTTTCATTTACAATATACCCTAGTATTGCATTTTCAGGTCAGTAAGATTTTGTTTGGGATAGTTTTTTTACTGTTTTTTAAAACATCTTTTTAGTATATTTTTTTTTTTTGAATAAATTTTTTTTTTACTAGAAAATTGTTTTAGAAAGCTGCAACCTTTCCCAAATGAAATCTAAATTTAAAGGTTTTACTAATTCTGACTCTGATACTTGGTTTTCAGGGTTATCCCGTGTGGGCTATTAATTCAAATACAGTCAATGATCTTGTGGGTCTGTCACTGAATTTCTTCTTTGTTTTGCCCTTAGCAAATTTGGGTAAGTTAATGGACTATTTAGAAGCAATGGAATATATATCTTTTGATGTTTCTCTTAAGTGCTTTCATATTTCAGAATCTTCTTTTATCATCCTTTAGATTACTATTAATTATAGCTCTTTGCTGATGCATTTGCTGCATTTCTTGGCAGAGTAGTTGGCCTTCATGTGATTCAAGCACCAGTGCTTCACCCTGTAAGGGAATTAGTAATATTTACAATTTAATTTTCATCCTTTTCCTTCATCTAAATCAGCTATTCCTCTACTATTACATTAGCTAGGTGGCTGAAGGCCTGTTTAATTTTGTAATTGGATGGACTTTCCTCTTCGCTCCGCTTCTCTTCACCGACTGTCGTCGAGGAAGATTTAAAGGATCTCTTGACCTCTTATGGGGATTTCAGATGTTTCTCACAAACAGTCTGCTCTTCCCTTCCAACAATTCAAAATTCTCCTTCGCATCATCATTCTTTAATACTCCTTCACTAATGGTTTCGTTTCTTCCTGTAATGTCTTACAGCTTTTCTAATACCTTACATGGCTATCCGACTCAACAACATGAGCAGCGTTGCAGATCAACCACCTCCAAAGCAATCACAACTAGGCTTGTTAATCGCGAATGGTGCAGGACCTGTGGGCTTAATTGGAGGCATTGTGTGCTTTGTTTCTGTGATTTGGGCTCTCTTCGGCCGTGCCGATAGTGGTTTCGGCGATTTTGCCAGTCGATGGCAGTTTCTGGAGCTCTACATCCAAACAGAACGGCTTGCTTATGCTTTTATATGGGATATCTTCCTCTATGCCATATTCCAGCCATGGTTGATTGGTGACAACCTTCAAAATGTGAAGATAAGTGATAGAGAGTTAGTGAGTGTTTTAAGATACATTCCTGTGTTGGGATTGGTAGCTTATCTTCTCTGTTTGGATAGTGACTTAGATTTATAGCAGGACTGCTGGAAATTTGCTTTATGTAAGTTTATTTTGCTACATTTCTGAATGGATGGTCAGTTTTGTGTATGATTTAATAGTCTTCATTTCACTATTTTACTAATTTGCACATTTACTCTTAGATTTCGTTTGGGACAATTTTCTTTCTGCTTCTTAAACCAGTTTTCTAGTTAAAAAATTAAACTTTTTTTAACTAAAAAGCTATTTTAAGAAGCAATAAGAAAGCCGTCCAAAGCGAAGCCTTTGACTCTATCATTCATTACCTATGATGTCCTTCATTTGCTCTTTCGCTCAATCTTTGTCTTCCTTCATGCATGCAATGAGATTAACTCCAAAATAACTGTCCAATAAAGATCAAAATCCGGTATTTGTTGGAGCTTCTTTAAGTGAGAATCTTATCGTATCTTGTGGGAATTCATTGAAGCGTAGCAGTCGGAAGCATTTAGAAATTTTGAGAATGAATGAATTGAATGGTGAAAACAAAGAGCCCTTATCTTACCCTGAGGGCACAATCTTCGTAGAACTCAAACCAACAAGGAAGGGCGCCCTCTCTTGAGAGCCTATAGCTCAATGACTTAAGAAGAATAGCATCTTGATGTCCAATAGAAAGGCGTGATTGGTGAATTGTGATGTATAAGTATTCATAATATATAGTATTAGAAAGCCGTCCCAAGGCTTCGTTTGAAAATATTTTTTGGTTATTATTTTTTTGCTGTTTTTGAAAAATTTTGTAGTAAAAAGTTGTTTTAAAATAGTAAGGAAATTGTCCCAATTTAAGCATAAATTTATAAAAAAAAAACATTTCTATTTTAGTGAAAAAATTACAAAATTCACAAATAGTCAAAATAAAAGTAGAGAAATGGCTGTTTTATGTGGATTAGATGTAGTATATGTATATTAGTGATGGAATTATAAACTTTCTATGTGATCAAGCACAAATTTAATTGCAAAGAATTCAAATTTGTGCTAGTTAGAAAAATTGAACAATACATAATATGCCAAATATGCTCATAATGATGTGTCAAGTTTATAAAAAGATTTTGTGAATGTGAATCAATTAAACTAGAGTTAGAATGGACAAAAAATGGTTAAGATTGAGCTCAAATGGGAATGGATCGACCGGCGAGTTGTCGCCCTTTACCTATGTGTTAATCAGTTGTGATTAGGGTCCGATTAGTCGATTTGCTTTCACCATGAACTTTTTGATGATCTTTGACTGCATTAGCTTGTATTAGTGAGTGTAATCCATTAGATTTATGTAACATCTTTAAACAATTTTGTGAGTTTAAAGCAAAAGAGTTTGTAAATATAAAAATTGTGAGACATTGTCACATGTTTTTGTCATGTGTGTTTATGAAGTACTTTTTTAGAATTATTTCCTAAAATTCACCCATTAAAATTTTAACAAGTTACCACTAATGTTCTCTTTAGAGTATTGATTGCTACATTGTATATTTACATATTTTAGCTAAGGTAGCATCAATGGTTGTTGCCACATCATCATCATATTAATAACCAAGCTCATTTTGAATTTGGTTGGACAAACATGGTCACGTAGGATTAATCTTTTTAAATCTGAATTTGATCATAAAAGGCCTCTATTTGTTGATGATAATTATGAAATTATTTTTTTTACGTAGGGCTAAAATATCCATTATAAGATTTACAAATAAGGCTTCCTTTAATTTATTTGACAAATTTTAATAATTATTAAAAGCTATGAAGAAAATTCTCATTTAACATTCATAGATCAAACAATAGTTTCCAACATCTTATGAATCTTTCAAATGATCATCATGCAAATATCTACAAACAGACACTACCTTTTAGCATTTTGACCTTGGATTTTGATGCATTCTTAAAGGGTGGATAATATTTGCTCCCATTCATAATTATCCTTTCACTATGATTGCCACAAGAAATGTTCTACACATAAGGGCTACAATCGCATTGAACATCTCCATCAAATGATTAGATGATGCACATTTTAGTCTAGGATTATTATATCTCCTACAAAATTGTATTATATGCATTATATAAATCTTCGTCATTTAAATATAAAGTGATTGTTTTTCATGTTCATGATTATCTTATCATGACAATAGCCTTCTTAGACATACCACATTAGGGTTTAAATGATGTTGTTGTTGATCATCACTTGAAATAGAATGATACTTGCATGCTCTTGTCCACATCTGTCCTACATAATAGCCTCCTTGAATATGAATTTATATTGGCATTAGAAACTCTAACTAATGTTATCTAAAGACTAGAAGACATCCAAGACTTCTTCATCACACAAAGTGATTGATTGGATTTTGATGGAAAAGGAAATATAGGAGGAGAAATAGTCTACTAGATAGAAAGAGAAAGGGAAAGAGAGAGAGAGAATGGGGACCAATCTCAGCAGTGTCATCTCTCGTGTACATTTTTTTTTTTTTTTTTGGAAAAGTGCTTGTGTACAGTAACTCTTAATATATAGCATATACCATCATACTATTGTTACATAATTAGTTAGAGATTGAAGATATGTAGTACAATTGTAATAGAGCATATCACATGGATATATGGGCCGAATGCTCTATAGGTAAAATCACTTATCATTTGTGCTTATCAAGTTATATATATAATTATACAAAAACCCTTTTTTTTTTGTTCGGTTCCTTGGTCACTGCTTCATTTTCCCCTTCTCTCATTCGTTTTCTCCTACACCAGTGGAGCATGCTTCTTTTTTCCTTCGCTCCTCTCTCGTTACTCGCGACCTCGAGCAGGGTTTCTCTTCCGCGTGCACAAGCCCAAATGGAGACCGCCCCCAAATAGTTTGCTTTCCCTCGACCCAAACGGCCTACTTCATTTTCCCCTTTGCTCCTCTCTCGCAACTCACGACCTCGAGCAGGCTTTCGTTTTCCCTTTTGCTCTTCTCTCGCCCCCAAATGGAGACCACTCGTGGCAAATATTTATGTTATTTGTATTTTTCATTTTGATCTTATAGCTTCTCTTAACTCCGATAATGAGTAATAAACAGAACTAGTTTAATGTATTCCAACATTCAAGATGAGACAACAAACGAAAAATTCGGACTTGAGTTTATAAATATCTTCTAATGCTAAAGCTATGATAATCATTTTAAGTTTAAAAAGAATCTAAAACCTATTTAAATTAAAACAATGACTTTTATTGTAGCATATTATGATTTTTGAGAACTAATATTATTTTATCGATTTAAAAAATTAGAAATCTTCTTTTTATATCTTGTTCAAAAGATTATTTTTCAAAAAATATTCTGATTTATATTGAAACTATACAAAATGATTATTTTCTCTACTTTTTTTTTTTTTTTGGATTGAAAATAAAGGCAAATTAATAAATAATATTTTCCAATAAATTACTATTGTCAGCTTTTATTAGCTTGTTCCTTGCAAATATGTTGAATTCAAAATTAATCTTTGTGAATTACACCCAACTATATTGAGAATAAGGATTTCAGATTCTTTGATGACTCAAAAAAGTAAGGATGGTCAAAGTTCTATCTCCATAGTAGTTATCAAACTTGCCTGGGTGAAGGAACCATTAAGGATCCTTGATGAATTCAAATTCCTTTACATATCTCAAATAGATGGCAGTCTCTAGCTTTTGAATAAATGGCCATAAGTGAATAGATACTAAGCCTCTTTGATTTTGAGATATCAAGGATCCTTCACACTCATCAAGTATGTACCCGATTTTAAGATTTCTATAAAAGGATCCATCCAACTTAGCCTTGATGGTTGGTCAACTACTATCATTTATGCTACTTCAATTTTATGGCAAGTAAGCTCTATGATGGGTTCTTCATTAAGATCTTCAATATTAGAAAACAGGTCAATAAATTGATTATGTTCTATTGTAATATGCTCAATTTTGAAGTATTTAAATCTCCTGATCTTAATTTTTAAATAGATATTTTTCAATTATTTTTTCTCTTGCTTTATATTATGCATTTTTCTAATTTTTTACAACTTGCGAGACTTAATGTGTTGACAAGGGTTTCACACCCACTCCTACAAATCTCAAGCCTACGAACAAAATCAAATACTTGACTTGATTGTTAGTAATTTGACAATTCATTTTGATCATGTAGAAAAGCACCATTCTTGTTGGACTCCTTAAAATAACTCCAAATGCTAACTCCTACACCAGAGACGCCATCAATATACAGACTTTATATATAATAGGTCTTATTTACGATCACCTCTTCTTCAACGTTGACTATACAAATTCCCAAGTGCATATTCCCTATTGGTAAATCTTGGGGCATAAGAAATTTATAACTCATTAAGTTCCACAAGCTATTTGAGTAGTCACCTTTAGTGGCCCAACATTGTCAGGGTTGATTCAATGGATGATTTGTAACAACATGAATTGAATGCGCTGAAAATAATGATAAAGTCTCCATGGAGAAATGATTAAAGTCCATGCAAGCTTCTAATGATCGGATAGCATAGCTTGGCCTCTTGTCAAATTTCACTCACATAGCAAATTGACCATGCATTATTTCTTCTCCTCTTAGTGAAAAAAGACTAACCTAACTAATTCTTCACTGACTATGAGATGCATGAACAAGTTCCTCTACTACTTTAGACTTTGAAGTTGATGTAAAGAAGAAAGGAGAAAGCTCAATTGTTGAAACAAGAGTTTAGATTTTTTGATCTAGGCAAAATACTTGGCAGTTCTAAGAACATTAAAGAATGATAAGTACTTATCGTTTGACTTTGAGGTGAATAAACTAAGCCCATAAATTCACCTTGTTAGTCTCTACAACTCCTTTGAATTTTGAGGAGAGTACATTTTAAAAGTATATTTTATCTCTTCCGGTTTCATTTTGATACATTCTATTGTTAATATGAAGTTGAAGAACTTACTTGATCTAGTTGTAACAGTACACCTCACAAAGGTTCAGCTTTATATTATACTTTCTAAAATAGAAACAGTTTTTTGTGATCATGAATATGCTACTTAATTTAGAGTTTTGATTTTAGACAAGAGATCATTTATATAAACTTTAACATTTCACCTCTTCTAATCTCGAAAATCTATCATCCTTCGATATCGCACACCTATATTATTAAACAAAAAGTCATTATTCTATATCAATCTGACCCATCATCTATGATGAAGGATGTCTTCTCAAAATCTACTAGGTACAATTTAATTTGGTGATATCCTAAGAGCACATGTAGAGAGCTCATCATAAGATAGCCTACAATAGTATTGACTAAGCATATCAATCTACGATAGTGGATAGCTATCTTTGAGGAAACAAAATTAAGATAGTTTTTAAAAAATATTTTCCCTTAGCGAATTCTTTAGAGTATTCACTCGGTCAATACTCTTCCTTTGGATGATTTTAGGTTTTGGGCAACTTTAACATGCTTAAGGGCAAGCTAATAGGCAACTTTAATGGAATGCTTTTTTGGGCAACTTAGAGCTTTTAATAAAAGTGATTCATGTTAGCAATATAACTTAATATAATCAACTTGACTAGCTTGACCCATATGAATACAATTATACACAAGTTCCAAAATTCTCTTATCTCTTTGAAGATAACAAAGAGAGACAAAGAAAGAAAATAAAATTTGTAGAGCTCAACTCAACCATGATAAGTTGGAACATTTATTATGATTGATTACATGAATTTAAGTATTTCTTCTCATGCACACATCAACATTTACAAAAATTCTTATAAATGTTTATCATTTGGATTCATTTCAAGGTTCTTCTATTTTTATTATTTTTCTTATCTTATATTCTTTGTATTTATATTCACTTACTTTTTTATCGAGATGGAGAGATTTGATGATCTCAAGCTTGATGAACTCTATTGCCCAAAAAAAGATTTTTATTCTCACACGAAAACACAAGAAAAAAATAGCTTTCAATATGAAATTCTCATTCTGCAACCATAAATTTTCTAGCATGAAACAATAATATTATTCTAACAATACCTCGTTTTCAATAAGAAGTAAAATATGAACTTATTTTTAGTTGGGGTTTGGTTTATTAGATAAAATTTTATGTGTTTAAAATAATAATTTATATTCTATTTTATTCATTTTGTTAAAAGATCAATAAAACAAGTAATTGTCAATGTATCAACCAATTACTTCTCTTACTTTTTTTGGGACATTTAAGTCAATTAAGATAAATTCATACATACATCACATACGGAAGATCTCTTGGTAGGAAGACAAAGCTCCCAACTAATAGAGTATATGTGTCAAAATCAGGTCACTCCGGGTCATTCCGGGTCATTCCCGGATTTTCAAGTCAACCCAAACCCGACCCTCTTTTTGAAATGGGACGAAAATCCTAACCCGAACCCGATTCAGTTCGGATTCAGGTTGATCCAAACCCAAAATTTTTGTATCCGAATCAGATCGGACTTTCAAGTCGTGTCACACGACTATAATATACCATGGTGAGCTGTGTTTTCTTACTTTTGTTAATTTGATTATACTGCAAGTCAACTTCATCCATCACTTTCAACCCATTACTTTTCTTCTTTCTCATTAAATGAGGTTTAGGTGGAGCAGCTAAGTAACCATTGCCTCGAGTAGATGTAGATCAACTGAAGTGAGAAAATTTCTATCAAAATGTCAAGCATTAGCTACCAAACGAGCAAACTCAATCAAGGCTTGAGTTTATGTAATTAGCTGCTTTTCGGCTTGATTAAAAATATGTATAAATTTTTTATTTTGATATGAACAAAGTGCTTGCTTAAAAATCTTAATTTTGTACATGCATTTATCATATAATTTCATACAAAAATATGATAATTTTATCACATATATATAACAAAATATGTATCAAGATAATTATACGAGATTAAACTAAGAAACTCTAAATCTTTACTGCCTTCTGCATGGACTCGAGATCTCTTCAATCACTAACTAGTAAATCTCCTTTAATATTTCTCTCTCTCTCTCTCTCTCTCTCTCTCTCTCTCTCATCATTGATGTTTGGTAGGAAGCCAAACACTATTTTTTAACCTCTTGAGAGGGAAGCAACTGACGTAAAACAAATACGTCTTCTTCACATGTATCTTCTTCACATGTAATTCCTAGATTTGTGTCCAACCTTTCTGCAAGATTTGGTGGTGGCATTTAAGAAATCTTCCTATTCATGAAATTTTAATTTTCTCAAATTCTACAGAAGAAATTTTCTTAAGAAAATATTAGGAAAATGAAAGATTATTAGATCGATAAGTTAAGCTCATTGGGACTTAAGCTTCGTTACTTCTTTATAAAGCGACTTTTTAGTTCAAAAATTTCTAATTCAAAAAACTTTTTTAACTAAAAAATTATTTTAAAAAGTAATAATAAAGCTATTAGAAATGTAGCCTTAGTCTTCATTAGGAACAACTTTTTTAGATTTTTTAAAACAGTTTTTTAATACAAAAACTTATTGAACTGAAATTTTTGTGCTAAAACGCTACATTGAAAAGTTTTGTCCCTAACAAAGTCTAATGCTTCATTTGAGACAAACTTTGACTACTATTTTTTTGTTGGTTTCAATAAATTTTTTTACTAAAAAGCTACTTTAGAAAGCAGTAAGAAAGTTATCTCAAATAAAGCCTTATTGATCTTTATTATATATTTTTAAAGTGTTTTGCAAATTTATCACATGACTAATGCATAATTTTTTTTATATTTAGTTATATAACATCATAATTTTTAAATGATATAAAAAATATCATTAATATTATATTATTTAAAATAAAATATTATTTTTTTCATGTATCTGTTTAGATATCATTTAAATAGTACTATGATGTCATCTAAATATATATATAAATACTTAGATGTTAGATATATAAATACATAGAAATTATATTATATATGTAAATCCCTATTTTATATTTTTCGAGAATGATAAATAATAGGCATTAACAACACTAACCAAATAATTAATTTCTTAAGTTAACACCGAGCATTTAGGCTTCGTTTGGGGTAAAATACCACTATGTTTATCCTGTTTTGTTTCCTACTTTTAAGAGATTTTTTAACTATAAAACAGCGTTACAAAACTATAAAAAAGCCGTCCTAAGTAAAGCCTTAATGTTGATATGGTATGTACTGTTGAGTGATTTTGTAATTTAGGCTTCGTTTGGGACCACTTTTTTACTGCTTCTTGAAGCAGTTTTCTAGTCCAAAAATTAAAATTTTTGTACTAGAAAGCTGCTTTAAGAAGCAGAAAAAAAATCATCCCAAACGAAGCCTTAGTTTTCATTTCTATTATTCCATATTGTTTCATACTGAATATTATAACACGAAGTATAATGCTTAAAAATCTAGAGTAATATTAGAAAAATAAGTTCTAGTATATAATAGAATCATGAGTTATATGCTAATCTAATGATTTCTCTAAGGAAGAACAAAAGGAACATTTTGAACAAAGAAATTAAAAAATTCAGCAAATTTGGTGATATTCCAACCAACAATGGCAGTAACTGAAAAAATACCAAACAGTTCTTTAGAAGAAAGGTCTCTCTTCTCCTCGTGGAGGGTTGAGGGGGACAAAACAAGCAAAGGCCATTACTTCTCTCAACTGCCATAAGTCAGGGATTCCTTGGAGTAGCATTAAAGCCTTTTACTCTGCTTCTCATCTCTACTCTCACCCAACTTTGGTGAAAAAAACTCATCAAATCTTACGTTGATCTTTCATGGCCTATCCCTTGCTCTTCTCCTCGCTCTTCTTTGTCTACTTTGTCTAATCTTAGTGAGATAGAAGATTGCCGAATGATCAAATCTAGATATGAAGTCATCTTCTCATAGCTCCCTCTTTCTCATTCTTGTCTTCTCCATAGTCCTCTTACTGAGCTTACAGCTTCTTGCATCTCCAAGTGGTGAAGTGGAAGCTGAGATTGAGAAGGTTTCAGGGAAAGACAATGTGGACGGAGGAGAGCCAAATATAGCCATGCTTACAAAGCTTAGGATGCTTTTTGGTCTGCATGGTTCAAGCTCTGCAAGCCAACACATAAGAGCTTCGCAGTTATCCCCAGCTCAAGCACCAATAGAAGAAGTAGCTGAGATCCTATCTCCTCTTCCATCACTCCACAAGCTCCACATCTATCACATAGCACCATCAAAGAATCCAAGGAAACCCCCTGTTGTTCATGGAACGGAAGAACATTTATCAGTGCAGAGAAAGCATTCACAGATGATTGTAGCAATCTCTGTGTCTATCTTAGCAACCTTAGCTATCTTTGGGGTCATGGCAGTGGCAGTGCTAGTTTATAGAAGACGTCGAAGAAATGCTGGTCATTGCAATATTTCTAACAAGGTGAGTTTTGATCCTGAGCCAGATATGTTTTACTTTGACTCCTTAGCACCATTTCTTGAGAGTGATTCAGATCACAAGCTGTCTTCTGAATTGAAGAGTGTGATGTCAGTTGAAAAGAATGTAACTTCTTCCTTACAAAGTGAAGGGTTGACACACCACTCATTTTTGGATTCTGAGAACCATTTAGAGGAAGCTACAAATAATATTGACTCCTTATCTTCTGATGGGAGTGACTCATTTCATTCTATATGTTGTTCTCATTGCTCGATCGAATCGAAGTGTAGCCTCGTTGAGCCAAGCTTAGATTGTTCACTAGCAAATGGTAATTTGCATCTTCTTACTTCCTCAAAACTGAATGTATTCTCAACTAAAAGCATAGAGAAACCAGTAAGTTCTACCAATTTAATTCCTTTCAATATAAGAAAAGCTTCACTTCATCCTCTTGTTCCAGAAAGCTTAGAGAGTAAACCATCTCAGTTCTCAAACACGCTTAACAATGAGGATAACATGTTGCCTCTTCTTACTTCTCAATCTTCTTCAAATCCTCAAATGGTACCAGCAGGAAGTTGGCCTTTTTCCAAAGATACTGAAAGCTCAAATCTAATTGCTAAAATACCCTCTGAATCAAGAAATCAAGCTATAAGAGCAGATCTTGCATCATCAATGCCTATAACTGTTGATATAATGAACTCGGCAAAACAACTTCAAACTGTACAAAGCATCAAAGGGCAACAGATACCAAACCCATCAAATTGTAATGGAAGCATTCCAAAACCTCCACCACCGCCACCACGGCCACTGCCGCCATCATTTCAAAGGAGTAGCAACATCGGTAAGCCTGCTCCCCCTCCTCCTTTCCAACAGCAGCAAAGCTCAGCAGTTGATAAAGATGGCAATCCACTTCCAAAGCTGAAACCACTTCACTGGGACAAAGTAAGAGCTGCCCCTGACCGTTCTATGGTGTGGGACAAGATCAGATCAAGCTCTTTTGTGTAAGTAGCTATCTGAACCCATATCTTATCTTTAAAAACTTTTTCATATTATGGGAATGTTATAAAATATTGTAAGGATGGTGGATACTGAGGATCTAAATATGCTTAATATACTAGTAGATTGGCACCTATTAACCCAATGGTTTAAGCTAATTGTTAAGCACCATTACCAATACATTAGGAACTTAATCTTTATAATCTCTTGCTTTTGACATTGGTTTATTCCAATTTCATGTTTACTCTAACAATATTCCTCTTTTATGAGTCTTCCACATTAGCTTTCACACTACTTCAAATGGAAGATTTTTAAGATCATAAAATGTCTAAGTATCAAAAACTCAATCATGTGATGCCTGCATGAGAGTCAATTATCTGTTTTTGAATATTGCATTATATTGATAGAAGTTGCCCACCACATGGGCCTTCAATCTCCCTGTAACAGAAGCATTTTAAGCTAATAAAATCTCATACATCAAGAACCTACTCAATTATGTGATGTTTAGATGAGAGTTAGCCACCTGCTCTTGAACATTGCTCGTTCATAGTAAAAGCTACCAATACCAAGACCAATGGGAGCCACAAACCACACACAACTTGATCCCACAAGAAAATGGGTCTAATACTACGTTATAAGAGTCTGAAGTTAGTAAATTAGAAACTTATTTTCACTTTTGATGTGATATTATTTACACTCTCATGTTTACCTGAACAAATATATGCAACTTTGAATGTTTTTTTTTTTGTAAATTTCTTGTAGATTGGATGAGAAAACAATTGAATCGCTTTTCGGGTACAATATGCACTGCTCAGTGAAGAATGAAGAATCAAAAAGAAAGAATTCGTCTCCCAGCAAACAAGTCCTTGAACACAAGAGATTGCAGAATTTCACTATTATAATGAAAGCCTTGAATGCAACAGCAGAACAAGTTTGCAATGCTTTGATACTAGGCAAGACTTAATGAGGAGAATGGTTCTTTATTTTTTTATAGCACATTTAAAATTTTGTTTCAGATATTGTTCATTCAATTGTTAGGTAGTGGCTTGGGTACCCAGCAATTGGAAGCACTTACAAAAATGGTGCCTACGAAGGAAGAAGAAGAGAGAATATACAAATATGAAGGTGACATTGATGAGTTAGGATCTACAGAAACTTTTCTGAAAGTGATACTCAGCATTCCATTAGCCTTTTCAAGGATTGGAGTCATGTTATATAAGGAGACATTTGATGATGAAGTGATTCACCTGAAAAAATCATTTGCAATTCTAGAGGTGACATTCTAATTACAAACTTATGAAAAATATTCTGAGCCAAATTGAAAAAGGACAAGCCCATGGCATGCAGTGTGTCATTGCATCATTTATTATGATGAAATACAAGCATGTTCTCAGATCCATAAACTTTTTATATAGGGTCATTTTTGTCCCAACATTCAAACATGTTCAATTTTGGTCTCTTGATTTCTCAAATATGATCTAAAGTAGGCCCTATGTTGAATTATTTTGAATAAGATTTGAGAAGTCAATGGATTGTTTAGATCATCTTTGAGAAATCAATAGACTAAATTTGACACATTAAATAGTCTACGACTAAAATGTATCATTTTGATTTTCTCTTTAGCAATACATATCAACAACTAAAGGCTTTGTTTTATGTAATTTTTTAGGAAGCTTGTAAGGAGTTGAGATCAAGCAGACTATTCTTGAGATTACTCGATGCCGTGCTGAAAACCGGGAATCGAATGAATGTCGGGACTATACGAGGTGGTGCAAGAGCCTTCAAGCTTGATGCTTTGCTGAAGCTTGCAGATGTCAAGGGAACTGATGGAAAGACCACATTGCTGCATTTTGTTGTACAAGAAATGAATAAGTCAGAAGGCTTGAATACCCATGAAAAAAACAATGAAAAGGCCTTCACAAAAGGTAAAGCTAAGACTACAAAAGAGAAGGAAGAGGATTACAATGCAAGGGAACAAGAAATAGTCTCTTCACTAAGCAGTGAGCTCTGCAATGTTAAAAAGACAGCAACCATGGATTTGGATGTATTGGCAAGCTCCATTTCGAATCTATCAAATGGAATGTGCAAGCTGAAAGAACTGTTGGAAGAACTTACAAGGAATCAGAGGGATGTAAGCTTTGTGAGTTCAATGAGATCATTTCAAAAACAAGGAGAAGGGATAATAAATGAGCTAAAGGAATCTGAGGACCGAGTTTTTCGCCATGTTAGGGAGATCACAGAGTACTATCATGGAGATGTGAGCAAGGATGAGGTGAATCCTCTTAGAATTTTTGTAATTGTAAGTGATTTTCTGGGCATGTTAGATCGAGTTTGCAAAGAACTGAGGAGCTCAAAGAGCCCACAGACTCTGAATCTTGCTGTTTCACTCGCTAGAGGTTCTTGAATTTATTCAATTTGACTGTGATTGCATATATAAGTACATATGTTTTTTATATATTGCTTGTTTAAGTTTATGTTTTTGTGTTCCTATTAAGTACTGAGAATGACAACATATTTGTGAATCATCTCTTGATCTTCTTCTTTCCTACCACTGATGCTATTGTTTTTGCCTGAAATATGAATAATAGATGGGCTATTTTGATTTCTTGTGAATAAAAAATTTATGATATTTTAACTTACTTTTGTTAGTTTCATGTGGAATCTATTTGTGTTGATCAATTGAGTTGTACTATTGTCTCAGACCTCAATTTTGTTCGCCAAGCTTGCTGGGAGGTTGCAGGGGGTCTTCCTCCTGAATTTTCTTTTTATATGCAATCACACAGTGCTGCAGCGGTTTATAGTATGGTTGGAGATATACAGACAAAGAGCAGAACGCTACAATGCTCCAAACCTAGGCACTGCAGCACTTCTAATCAAGCTGGAGATAGAGAGTGGAGCGTTGCGGCGCTCCAAACCTGGCTTCGTGGCTCTACGAGCTAGGCTGCATCCCTAAGAGTTTTCCCTTTTATTTTTCACGTTTAACTTGAAAGGTTGCGACGTCCCTAAAAGTTATTCAAGTGTGTCTATTTGTCCATTTTGTGTGAGAGTTACAATTTCTCCTAATTTGCACAGTGAATTTCTTGGTGTAGTGTGGCTCCGTGGTTATTTAATTCCCAGTTTTGATTTTTCCAGGTTAAATCTTAGTGATCTTTAGTTTCCACTGTATTTTTCATTTTCTTTCGTGTATTCGCTGCTTGGCTTTGCTTCCCCAACAACTTTGTTTGTGTGAATAAAATCACCAATTTGTAGAAACTTAGAAGGTGTTTATAGAGCTTAAAGACAATCCTAATATTTCATTGCAGTCAATCAAATTATCCAATTTGCATATTTATTTATCTCAAATTAGGACATTTACCAAAAAATATAAAAATATTAGATAAAATTTAATGTACCCCTGTCAACGTGTGCAGAATAATTAAAACTATAATATATTAAAAGTCATACGGTGGAAGTTTGCTAAAATTTGAAATATCAAAACTTTTGTAAATTTTGATCAAATCACAATAAAAAAATATAAAATAAGCAAAACCATTGAAACCAAAAGCAGGTTAACAACAGCCTATCTTGAGATGAGCAAATTTCTCAACTATGCCTATGGACAAAAATGATTCTACTACCCTAAATTTCTCTCTCATTTTTCCTCTCTCCTCTCTCCTAGCTTTTCTTCTCAAATTACATATTCTATTCTCTCTCAAATGTATGAGAAAAAAAATGGCATATAAGAATTCTATTAGTGGTTAAAGATTTTTGTTATAAAAAATCTTTATGATACAAATGTAATTATGCCATTTGTTTAGTTTAGGCATAAAATTTATATAAATCTTTTTATATCTTGAAATTCAAAGTTCCTAAAAAAAATATTTATGAAATAGACCAGCATGTCTAAAAGACTCTAGTGAAATCTATTTGTAAAATGAACACATAATGGTTCTAGAAAATCACTTTTATTGACATGTGTCATTTTTTGGGGATTATAATTAAATAAAAAACTTCTTGTTTTCATATCTACATTGCCCATAAAATTAAAAAATATATATAATTAAAGAACAATAATATCTATATAATGGCAAAGATGGTTTACAAATTAGACTTATAATAACTCCTGAAATATTATTTGACTGTTAAATATTGGTTATTACAACCCATCCATACAACAGGACCGAACTTCCATAAACCTTTCCTACTAAAGAAACTTTGTTGGCAAAGGTTTTGATGATGAATCTTTGAAGGATTGTATAAGTTCTATAGAGGAATCCTAGGTTGAGAGCCTCCATCTTTTATGTAAATCCCACCAAAATGGTCAAAATAGTGTTACACCTCACCTTCCTCTACCTTAAATCAAAGACTTCCCACTCAAGTATGTATAAGCATTTGTTTCCCACCATTAGGCAAAGCGTCAACCTCTACTAATCAAAGGTCCTCTAAAAGACCATCATTGCATAAATCTTAGGAGGGTACAAAAAAGAAAAATAACTATTTATTAAAAAGTTCTTAGAAGCATATTAACTTCTCCTTATTTTAAACCCCCTTATGAGCGCTTCATGATATATGGGCCCCAAGAGTCAGAACAATAGATCGATTTCTTTTAATTAAAAGTTCTAAGGTGCATGAATTATCACATGGACTCCATAAGAGCATAATAACTGGCAAATAACTTTTACTAAAAAAATTCATGAGAGCTCATCATAACACAAACCAACATATCTTAAGGGTCCATCTTCTTTAGAGGATTATGTGTATTATATATTGTAATGAGGTTGAGATTTTCCATTTAATATGTGAATACCACACATCAAAACCATCACGCCGAAATATTATTGCACATTGCTTTTCTATACTATGGATTTAAGATTGCCCGCTTGAGGATATATATGCATTTAAATCCTAACAATTTGCCTAAGGCTTTGCCTCCACCTTTGTCAATCAAAGTCTTCAAGATGCCTTGCATGAATCTTAAGAGGGTATGGAAATAGACAAATGTTGTCCCTAGGAGGGACCGTCACCACCTTAAGGGGACATGAACATAAATGAAATTCTTTTTATTTAAAAGCCCCAAAAGATATATACCCCAATAAGAACAACAATAGTCAAATTTCCTTTTATTAAGAAGTTTATTGAAGGGTTTATTGATATCCAAAGTACAACAAGAACTCCAAGAAGAAAGAAAAATATTCAATGAACTCATGGCAGAGCTATCAAGTAATTTTGACTTTTTTTAAGGAAAAGATTGATATGATATATAATGACTTATTAAACTGAACAATGATACAATCATTCCTCTCAAAACCTACAAAATCAAAGTCTGAATGGATGCAAAAAGGAGTTAAATAAATGATTTCATAATATGAAATTTAATGTTAGATTTATCATTTTAAGTTGTAATATTTAATTAACTTTGGTGTTATAATTATGTTAAACATATCAACATTTTGAAATTAAACCTTTAAATGTATTTCAGACTTATGAAATAGTAATGTTTATATTATGATTATAATTAAATCATTGCTAATTTTACTATGGATATGATTAGTTGCTTTTATGTCTTAATTTGTAACAAAATTAATTGTTATGTTTCTAGTTCCTATTTTATCGTGCTTTAATAGATCAAAGTTTTACATTATTTAAATAATAAATTTTTAATGTTAAAATATTAAAAGATAATATAATCATTGCATTTTATTGCTATACGAGACTCCGTACTCTACACTTAACTAAATAAAATCAAATATTTAGAATATACAACTTTAATTTAATGTGCATATACCTAAACAAATAAAAAAAATAATTCTTCTAAATTTAAATAATTTTTTTAAATATTTAGTTGTACACTTTAAATACCCTTTAAAGAAATACAATAACTCTAAAAACATCACCAAACGATCTCTTAAAAAAAAAAAAAGCTTAAATCTTATAATCAAGTTAAAAAGGTTACTCCAAAACTGTAATCGAGTAAATTGCATTTTCAATCCTTCACCTTCTCAGGCTTTGGCCGGTTCCCAGTCGATCGGGTGGCGGCGCTTCGTCCACTGCTTGCCGGGAGATACAGCTGGTCAATGGCAGTCTCTCGGCTGTTCAAAATTTCCGCTAAGCCGAGGGCACCGCTCCGTCTTGCCGCGGGGGCAACCTTCGTTGCTCTCGTCTGGCATACAAGCCCTAGCGTGCTAAGCGGTGAGTCGACGCCCTCCTTGTCTGGCGAGACGATCCATAGGGCCTTCGATGGTGTAGCCCGAACCTCTCGTGCTATCTATGCTGTATGATACATCTCCTATGATATTCATTTGCCTCATATTATTTATTCTCCATCTCCTGATTCCTCGACTTATGTTGATCTCTTCAGATAAGTTCCATTGTGGTTGATTACAAGTATTCTCTCTGGGGTTTGCCTCTTGGATCGAGTGATTACAGATCTAAATTGCCCGAGGTATAATGGTATAGTGACGTGGGTATGCTTATTTGGTACCTAGATTTCACCGTAATTTTCTTTGGAAATACATTTATTGCTGTATTTCTTTGATGTCTATCCTTCGCCTAATATTCTTCAATGATTAGTAAAAATGAACATATATTGGAGCGATTTAATATGGTTGGTAAAAATAAAGTGTTGATGCATCAATGTATGGCTGAGATGATATGAGTTTTGTACTTTTAGTTTCTCTTTTTGAGTTTGCGATGATTTTTATGCCTGCCATGTATTCTTGATTCCTCGTATTCTAGTTTTTTTAATCCACTTAGATATTGTGTTTGTAAATTGTAGGTTTTAGTTGATTTGATGTTGCATAAGGTAGAAGAGATTTGATGTGGAGCTTGATCAGACTTCAAGGAACCCATTTGGGGAGTGAAGAATAGCTAGTAATCCACACGGTTTCATGAGGGAGAGTTCTCAGTTAAGACTTAACACAGTTCTTAGGAAGATAGTTCTTGGTTTTGAGGTGGTTCATACATGGAAAAGAGATTTGCAAACTTTTATATCTTAAAATTTTGGGTTATGGTTGACCGGAAAGAAATTGAATGTCAATTACCAGAAGGTAAAAAAGATTTATTAATTTTGTTGGTTTGGAGAGACGAAACAAAATGAGTGTGATAGAGATGAAGCTATTGGTTGTGAGGGAGGGGGTGGTTATTGTAAGACCATGTACTACTTCTCTTTTAAGTTGTAGAGTTTAAAATAGTCTTTGTCACCAACTCACCATCTTCTTGCATGGCTCTAGTCTTTACACCACCTTGACAAATATATAATTTTAACCATTTCCAGTCCTTAGGAGACTAGGAAATGTAGTGGGAAGTACCAAATCAAATGAATGCAGTGTAAAAGAAATATTTTAGAGTTCTTTGGATGAATGTAAAGTAAATGTAGATGAATGTTTTTTTTGTTTGCTTTGTAGTAATGAATATAGTATAAAGTCCAAAAATGGTGGAGGCCGTCGGGGTTGGCGGCAGTGGTGTTTGGAGGCTAGTGGCAGTGGCCGGTGGCAGCGGTACCTGGCGGCTGGAAGGGGTTGTGGCCGGCAGCGGGGTTCTGGCCATAGTGATGGCTGGCGGTGAGGAGTGAAGGCCGATGGCGGGGAGTGGTGGCCACCGACGATGGGTGGTGGTAGCTGGTTGTGATCGAGCTTGCTTGCAGTGTAAACGGTTCTTGCTCAAAATTGTGCGATTTTAGTTTATCTTTGAAGGAATTAAATTGTTTTACACTAAATATACTTTACTTTGCATTTCTTTTTCGCCAAAATTTTCAAAATCAAGCATTCACTTTACTTTACACCCATTTTACTTCCAACCAAACAGCCCCTAAGTAAAATTTGGGAGAGTGATCAATGGAAAATTTTCAACAACAAAAATTTTCAGATTAAAGTGTAGTTGGAAGGATTGAGAAATCCAAGCATAAGTATATATTGGTGAATTAAGATTAATAAAATCAGGAAAATTTTTTCTGAAAAGAGATGAAAGATGGTGATGGGTTTTTTCTATCTAATTGAAAATTTTGTATTAGACTATGAAAAGAAAGGAGGCTTGGGTATCATCAACCTCAGATCAACTAATCTTGCTCTTTTGGTTAAGTGGATTCGCAAATCTATTGATAATTGCAATACTTGCCACCAGATCTATCTTTCATGGCAAATATTTTTGGAGGGAAAGATCTATCTTTAATGTTTTTAAATTTTTTTATATTTTATTATTGTATCTCTTTCTCTTTATTAATACAATATATCTCTTAACTTCTAATTTGTATTAATCCTTTTTTTATTGAGAAGGGTTTATCACCCAACATTTATGTATATATAAAAAAATTCCAAAATAGTCCTCAAACTATTCGTTTGTGGCCAATTTAAATCTCAACATATCACGTTGCTTCAATTTAGCCCATCAGCTATATAAAATTGATCTAAAATGGTTCTCATGTTATAATTGTGATATAAAATTGAGTTAGATTTAGTACTTCCACTATACAAAATTGATCCAAATTTACTTATAGAGGGACCATTTTGGATCAATTTTGTATGGTCGAGGGACAAAATTGGAGCAACGTGATACTTTTAGACTAGATTGACCATACGTGAATAGTCAAGTCAAAGGGCTATTTTGAAGTTTACCCAAAAAAAATCTTTGTGAAAAATGCACACCTATTTGAAATTTCCCCATCAAATGTGGAGCTTTTTACCTCAAAGCTACTCATCTCCTGACGTCACTCCACTTCTCTCCAATGGAGATCTTCCAAAAGATCAAAAGTAATAAAATTTTCTGAACTTAGATCATGTCATCTTATGCTATTTATGACAACTTATAGTGGGTTTGTTTTTTATAAACATGATTAGAGTGCAAACGTTTTTGCAAACTCTTACAAATTTAACTCACCTATTAAATTCAGTGTTTATTAGACTTGGTATGACAAAACTAAAGTGCTGGATGTAATTTTATCTTCTAAAATACTATGGAATTAGTGTGATTACATTATTATTATTAGAAATTACTTGTCAGTGTTTCATTCTATATAATCTTCATAACTCGTCATATATCTGATTTTTTGTTGCAATTCATTAATGATCCTTATCATTAGCAATGTAATTTATTATTTAAGCAAAAAGGTTGCAGATATAATAAGAATAGTTAAACTTACCTTATCCAACAAAAAAAAGTGTTACGCTAATCAGAGTTTAGTGGTTCGTTCCATTATTCAATTCCCCCTACTCAAGAGTTGCTACATAGCTTTTAAAAATTTTGGGATGTGCAACATGCATCTTAAGCTATGGCGACTTCTACGATGTCTATCTTTCTAAATTTTGCATCATCTTTGGGTTAGGTTCATCTTCGTGCTGCTAAAAAGCTGCTGAAACTTTGTGAAGCCAATGGAGGGTTTTATGTGAAAGCTGGCCAATTCGTTTCATCATTGAGACACGTTCCAAAGGAATACTCTTTAATACTTTCATCATTACAAGATCAGGCATGTGAAAAATCTGCATTTCTTATGATCTTCTATCGGCTGAATCTTATTAGAATTGCATTATGATTTATGGTTTGTTTGTTCAGTTATATTTTTTCATCTAGCAGGTGAATCCATGCAACATCAATGACATTAAAGAAGTGATTTTCAAAAGTTTAGGTGAAGACAGTTTAAAATTGTGAGCCTCTGCCTTTTCCTTATATGTTCTCTCCCGGTACTTGAAAACTTTGTAGCGTATGGATCTGTATGAATGCACCTTTTTGGTTTTGTGCTTGAACTATATTTTGTCTTGGAACCGCTTTAACTTTTTGTTTTATGCTTGTTGATGCACTGGCATTTGAACTATGTATGGGCTTGCGGCCTGATTTTACTATGTTTATGCATGGTTTTATGTTCTGTATTAATTGTTAAGTTCTCTTTAGTAAGCTTCTAAAAATGATACGAAAAGGACATAATGTTAAGAGAACGTAGGGAACATGAGTAGTTGATCATGGTAATGGGAACATGAGTATCCAACATGGCACTTATCTTTGTTCTTTGCGAGTAGTTTCTTTTTTAGGAAAATTAGAAATAAGTTTGATGTTATAGGGTGCAAACCACTTGAAGAATCCTCATAGATTTCTTGCAGTTGTAAGCTAAAGGCTGGCTTTATTTGTAGCAAATTTATTGCATTCTAGTTGCACATGAAAAAGCTGCTCTTGAACCTCAATGTGAAGGAGATGAGAAGCTACCTATGCTGCTTTGACTTTCTCTACGGGAAGCCATTGCTATGTACCTGTAGCTGTGGTGAAAATAATGACTTTAAGTGAAATTGTGAAGGCTGGCAACTAATAGGATGAGAACGACTGAGTTATGAAGAGATCTCATGGTTTTCTTGAGGTGAAGGCATTTAAGCCATTATAAATATGCAACCTTCAATATAAGGACATATGCTTGTATTTAGCTGACTTTGTTTTGATGATTTTAAGCTTCCACCTTGAAGATCAATAATTTAGTTAGAGGTCCTTGCTCCTTATTGATATGAAAATGCACGAGGGACCCAGTTGTAGGCTTTAAAAAAATGAGAACCAATGTAAAATAACCCCTTGGCTTGGGGTTCATGTGTAATTTACTGATAATAAAACTTCTTGCATGATTTCACCAAATCTGTAAACTCTCTGAAAAATCGTTCTTCCAAACTTGCTCGCATGTGCTTGCGCTAATATATGCCAAACTTCTGTTGGCTAACTAGTTGTTTGTATTGATTTTTTTTTTTAATTTTACCCTTAGACTAAATCTTTCTATGAGTTTTTTATGAATATTATTTTATGCTAAGTGCATGATAAAAGCACAACTATGTTGTCTGAACACCCTAGTATTTATTTCACCATATTTGGGTTTTTTGCCTGCTTCCGTAAATTTTCTTTACTTTGAATGCACCTTTCATGCTGTATATTTAAAAGAAATTTATTTAGGGTATTTTTGTATGAGGGGAAAATGGTCCATAATATTTATTGTCATTTTTAATAGAAATGTTTCTCCGTATATTGCTAAAAGTTTTGGGGCATTTTTTGGTTGTGATTTGCACCACCTTTTATTTATTTGATGATTTTTCAGATTTCGTTCATTTGATGAAAAGCCAATTGCTGCCGCATCAATTGCTCAAGTACACTACGGAACTTTGAGGAATAATCAAGAAGTTGCAATCAAGGTCAGCATTATCTACTTGTGATGATGAGTATAATTGTCGTCTGATGATTTCATGCATTCAGCTAATATCATGTTATTAATGTCTATGACAAAAATGTATTTTTTGTACTTGGGTATGGTGGGTTGATTCTTGAGGATAGATAGATATATGAAGTGAATTTTTTGTTGCTTATATATTGACTGAAAATAGTATTTGCTGTCCGTATATATGCAAATGATAAACTACAGTTTGGTCTTTCATATTTCATTTTGTCCACTGCAGTCCCTTAATTTTGATTTGGTCCACATTTTTTCTATTTAAGTTTCAATAAGTTACAAAATGCCGTAACATTTAATTTTTATTTCTTCAATTGGAGTATTTCATTTTTTATTCTTCCCTTCCTAATAGTTATCTGTGGGGATGTTTTTTTTGTGTCTATGTGGCAGTATGGTGGGGGTGGGTGGCACTTGCTCGTGTGGGTCCGAAAAAATGGCCCTGCTTGTATGAGAGATTAGCTTTGGATGATTTTTTAGGAGTTTGATAATGTAATAAATAAAGAACTACCTTTATATATTGCCATCATTAGTGAACTACATATTCTTGTTTTGAGGTTTTCTATTTGTACAAGTTTTCACTGTTCATTAGCAAGCCCTATCAAAAGAGAGAACTATCAATTTAGGCTAGTCTTAAGGTTTTACATTAACTGTTATTTTGTCATGATTTCTTATATGGTTTGACCTACTATGATTCATTTGAGCAATTGTTTCTCTCATACTTAAAGGGGATGATGGAGGAATATTACAAAATTTGATTAAAATTCTATGATTCTATCATCTTTACTCTGTCAACAAGCCCGTTTGAATACTCAAAGGGATTTCGATGTTTCATTCATTTACTAGAAGATCCTTCACAGCAACCATGAGTCCATGAGATACCTTGTCTGAGGGGACCATGAAAATCGAGTGTGAAGAATTTATTGGGGTTCTAATTTTATCATCAACCTTGGCTAATAGAGTGTTCATGTCCTATCAAATACACTAGATGATTCACTAACTTATAGATGTGGTCATTCAAGAACATCCGGGCTTTGCCCTTTTTGTTAAAATGGTTTAGTAGCATTCTTTAGGCATGTCCACCCAATATGATTTTGCTTGCCATGCCCTCGCTGCCAAATATTTTTTCACTTGAGAGTATAGTCACACTACTATGATGTTGGTTCATTTGTTAAGCGTGGTCAAGCTTTGGCTTTGATGCTCTTAGAAATACTTTATAAAAGGATGATGTGTGGAAATTTGTGCCTTATATATAAGAGAGAAAAAAATTGACCAAAATGATCCCATGACTCCTTATGAAAGATCAAAATAGTTCCCAACTATATTTAAGGACCATTTTGTTCCCTTAACTCCTTTAAAAAAATAATGATGAGTGAAAAATGCCTTTGTTTTAATTGTGATGCAAAATTTGGATCCCAACATCATTGCCTAATAAATTTTACTTATTACTTGGCGCTAACGACATTGAATTTATAGTCCCCTCCCTCTTCCCTTGATATAAATGTTAATCACAATTTTTCTTCTGAAATTAGTTTAAATGTCTTAGCGGGACACAATTTAATCCCCGTTCTTTTCGTTTAAATGGCTCTATTAATAATCAAAATGTTCACATTTTAATTGATAGCGGAAGTACCCATAATTTTATTCAAGCAATCTTATTCATTAACTTGTTCTTACTTTTCAACCCATCAACTAACTTAAAGTTTTAGTAGGCAATGGCAATTTGCCTTTTTATACTTCTAAATGGCCCAATGTCATAATTGCTATGCAAGGCTATCACATCACTTTAGATTTGTTCGTCCTTTCCATCCATGGGGCTGATGTCGTCCTTGGTATGTATTGGCTACATTCCTTAGTTTCAGTTTTACATAATTGTTGTGACTTGACTATGCAATTTAGTTATCAAAATCAACCACTTATACTTTATGATGAACCACAATTATCTTGCAATCCCATTTCTTTCAACCAATTACTTGCCCTCATTTTTCATTCCCCAACCATCTAGCTATTCACTATTCAACCCTATCACCTAAATATTGATCTTGCACCACCTAACTCTTTGGACAAATATCTAGATACTTTCCCTCAACCTCTTCCCACTCTAATTACCACATTATTATATAAATTTCAACACTTATTCAAACCACCATAAGAGTTAACACCACTACATATCATTGACCATCATATTAATATTCCATCTTTATCCAAACCTGTTAACATTTGTCCTTATCGTTATTTACATTTTCAAAAGGATGCGATGGAGCAATTAGTTTTAAAAAAGTTACAGTATGGTATTATTCGCCATAGTCATAGTCCTTTCTCTAGTCTTATCAAGAAAAGAGATGGCACTTGGCGTTTTTGTTTTGACCATCATGCTTTGAATACCCTTCTAGTTAATGATAAATTTTCCATTCCAACTGTGGATGAAGTGATGAACTGTTTGATGCAATGCATGAAGCCCAATTTTTTTCTAAACTTGACCTTCGCTCTAGATATCATCAAGTCTGTATGCACCCATATGACATTCGTAAAACTTCTTTCCACACTCATGATGGTCACTATGAATTTTTTGTTATACTTTTCGGCTTAACAAATGGGCCATCTACTTTTCAAGTTTTAATGAACCAAATTTTTGTTCTTCTTTAAAAAAATTGTCATTATTTTTTTATGATATCCTCATCTATAGGAACAATTATTACGTCGTCCGACCGGACGTAGAGGAACGTCCGGTCGGTGGCAAATTCCCGCCAAAAAACGAGTTGTACCGAGCAAATACCGAGCAATACCAAACAATAACGAAGAATACCATCATTTGAAGACCCAATACCGAGTTATACCGGGCATTACCGAGCAAATACCGAGTTATACCAAAGTTGTACCGCGTTTTTCCCAGAAAAACTCGGTACAACTCGGTATTTCTCGGTACAGCTCGGTATAACTCGGTATTGGTCTTCAGAGAACGGTATTCCTCATTATTATCAAATAATACCTAGTTGTACCGAGCAAATACCTAATTTTTTGACGGGAAATTGCCTCCGACCGGACGTTCTTCTACGTCCTTGCACCGGACGTAATAAAAGTTCCATCTATAGCCCTACTCTAGAACGTCATGTTGATCACTTCCTCCTTGTATTTCAGTGTTTAACTACAAACAAGTTGTTTCTTAAATTAAATAAATGTCAATTTTATCAAATCATCCATCGAATATCTTGGTTATATAGTATCTTCTAGAAGTTTCTATCCTGATCCTAAGGAAATCTCTGTTATGACTAATTGTTCTATTCTTTCATCTATAAAATAACTTTGCCCGTTTTTGGATTTAATGGGCTATTATCGCCACTTTATCTCAAAACTATATTTCAATTGCATCTCTTTTAACTGACTTACTCAAGAAAGACTTTCAAATGGAACGACTTTTCTTTTATGGCCTTTAATAACCTCAAGAGAGCCATGAACACAACCCCTGTTTTATCTTACCAGAATTTTCAAAATAATTTATTATTTGAAATTGATGCTTCAAACATTGGTATTGGAGCTGTTTTGCTAAAAAAAAAAAATTCCCATTTATTTCTTCAGCAAAAAGCTAAACACTTACCTATCCCGATCCTATACTTGAAATAATTATTTGCCTCATTGAGGCTGTTTGCAAATGATATTAATGCCTATTAGGCTTTGAGCACATTATTCGCACAAATTATAAAACCTCCGTGACCTTCAAAAACAAATACTTCAAACACAAGATCAACAATATTATCTTCTCAAAATCTTAGGCTTTAATTTCTCCATTTGAGTATAAGCCATGTAAATCAAATATTGTTGCTGATTCGAGACAGGGTTCCTCTTCCATCAGCATTATTCTCATTTTTTGCACTCACTAATTTCTCTTTTTCACTTACCAAGGATTTAAGAAGGAAGCCATTACATCTTTAAATATACTTCAATTCACTTCCCAACTAGCAAAAGGTGAGCTTTCTCCTTCAGATTACTAAATTGAAGACAATATTCTCTATTTTCAAGGTCATATCTATATCGCGAGTCTTCTCTAAAAAATTAAATTCTTTCTGAATTTTATTCCACAACTCTTGTTGAACATTAGGGTAATCTCAAAACCATTAAACGAATCTCTTCTAATTTTTATTGGCATGGACTCCATAAAGATGTCATTGATTTTGTCAATAATTGTTTTACTTGCCAAGAAATTAAAACCTCTACCCTGCCTCCCGTCGGTCTATTAACTCCTTTACCCATTCTATTATAAATTTGGGAAGATTTATCTATGGATTTAATTATTGGCCTACCTACATCAAAAGGTGATGCAATCAAAAATTTGGGGAGGGGCCCAAATTTTTTATCACAAAAACACAAAAAACTTCCTATATAAAAGAAGACACAAAATGCTCAAAAAGAAGAGATAACTTAGAAATTTTAGAACAAACTCTTACATTTCATATAAACGAACACTTTTATAAATAAAGACTTACAACTCTTAAAATCAAACGACTTACAAACAAAAACTCTAACAAGACACCCTAAACTTGCTTACTTTGAGAAGAGGGATACAGGTGAGGTGGTCATTTGCGGAGAGACGAAAGAGATTAGAAGCCGAGAAGAAGGTTGGAAAGAGCTCGCAAGATTTCCTAGAGGTGAAGAGAAGAAGAAGTGGACAAAGCTCGCAAGATTTTCCAACAAAACCTGCAGGTTTACATTTCCAAAAATCACATCATATATCATACTTAAACAACCCAAAACATCTACTATATATAGACATGAAAAGGGAATACAAACAGCCACTTTAATGAATTTTCACAAGAACCCAAGCATCATTCTCTACTAGACATTAATGAGCTGATATCTAGTAGAACTTACAAAATTGTCAACTCAATTTGTTTTGATCCATTTCTTGCCCACATCAGACTCCCCTTCTTGAGAACTCATCTCCCGATGAGTTGGCTTTTGCTTTCTTCGGAGGAGGCAAGGATAGTGCATCCAGCTCTTGAATTTTTTTTTTTTTGCTTCAAAATTTTTGGCACTTGAGTGTAGCTGCACTTGAATCTTGAAAAGCTTGATCTTAATCGGGTCAAAAGAACTTTCTTGTGGTGAGGTCCATTGGTTTACTTTCTTGCTTGCTTTCCACTTAATGTTTATCCAACTTGACTTAGAAAGACACAAGACTTAAGACACAAACTTAGGAAGACACAAAACAAGACTCACGCACAACCAAGACTCATTAGAACTCACAAACTCACACAATAACTACTATGACTTACCAAGACTTGCTAGACAAACCGACTCATAATAAAACTTTCATGATAACTAACATGACATCAAGACACACATGACACAACCTAGGACTTCATAACTTGCTATGATACTAAAATGATGCAATAAAAAATTTGGGAGAGGGACCCAAATTTTTCATCACAAAATTAATGCAATCAAAAATTTGGGAGAGGGGCCCAAATTTTTTATCACAAAAACAAAAAGACAACTTCCTATAAAAGAAGACACAAAATACCCAAAAAGAAGAAATAACTTAGAAATTTTAGAACAAACTCTTACATTTTATATAAACGAACACTTTTATAAATAAAGACTTGCAACTCTTAAAATTAAACGACTTACAAACAAAGACTCTAACAAGACACCCTAAACTTGCTTACTTTGAGAAGAGGGATACATGTGATATGGTCACTTGCAGAGAGACGAAAGAGATTAGAAGTTGAGAAGAAGGGTGGAAAGAGCTCGCAAGATTTCCTAGAGGAGAAGAGAAGAAGAAGTGGACAAAGCTCGCAAGATTTTCCAACAAAACCCGCAGGTTTACATTTTCAAAAATCATTTATATATCATTTTTAAACAACCCAAAACATCTACTATATATAGACATGAGAAGGGAATACAAACAGCCACTTTAATGAATTTTCACAAGAACCCAAACATCATAAGTCACGGAATTCCCCCAAGCATTTCATGGAAAATAGCCCAGCCTGGGAACCGAAGGAGCAGCCACGGGAACCAAAGAGGCCCGCATAGAACCGAGGCGCCAAAAGGCACGGAAAGGCCCCCAGCTCGGGAATCCAGCAGCCAACCGAAAAACCAAGGAGCCATGGCACGGGAAACAACCAGCACATGAAGCCCAAAAATAGCCACGAAATCCCATGGGACAAAGATAAATATTAAAGAAGAAAAGGGGAGGAGAAGGGACAAGAAATGGGGGAATGAACCTCAATTTATGAGCTAAAAAAGCTCTATACTAGACATTAATGAGCTGATATCCAGTAGAACTTACAAAATTTTCAACTCAACTTGTTTTGATCCATTCCTTGCCTACATCAAAAGGGTACACTACCATTTTAGTAGTAATTGATCGTTTGTCCGAATATGCTTATTTTGGCTAATTACCCCTAATTATTTTGCTTCTCAAGTAGTTGAACTTTTCACAAATATCGTTGTTAAATTGCATGGATTCCCCAAAACAATTTTCTCCAACCATGACAGCATTTTCTCAGGCCACTTTTGGCATCGTCTTTTTGCCTTGAGTGACACTTCTCTTCACTATAGCACTGTCTATCACCTACAAATTGATGAACAAACTGAGGTACTCAACCGTTGTTTAGAACAATATCTTCATGCATTTACATCAACTATTCCGTGATTATGGTCTACATTTCTTTGTTGGGCTAAACTTTGTTATAATGCATCCTTTCATATGACTATTCAAATGACTCCTTTCCAGGCCCTATATGGTAGATAACCTCCATCAATTCACGCATATATTCGTGGTTCTTCTTACATTTATTATGTAGACACTTTATTAACAAACCTATACACCCTTTTACAACACCTTCGCTAGAATGTCTCAAGCTCAAAATTGCTTGAAACTAACAATAGATCACCATAGAAGGGATTTGCAATTCTCAATAGAAGATCTGATGTTGGTTAAACTACAACTCTTCAGGTAAAACTCTATTGTCCACATAACACATTCCAAATTAGCTAAACGATATTTTGGCCATTTTCCAATTGAAGAGGTCATTAGCCTAGTGGCTTACCACCTAACTCTTCCTTCTAATAGCAAAATTCATTCATGTTTTTCACATTTCTCATCTCAAACCATTTAAAGGAACCCCTCCTCTAACTCTGTCCATATTGCCAAATCTTACTAATAACGATCAACCACTCCTTGTTCCTTATGCCATTTTAGCATCCCATGTTCATGGTCAACCTCACCATCAAGTCTTGTTGCAATAAAAATTAAACACACTGGAAGATGTCACATGGGAAAATTTTGTACTACTCTCTTAAACCTTGAGGACAAGATTATTTTCATGGTGGCGGGAGTGTTAAACATCAATGCATTTCATTAGATCCTAAAAATGGTGCAAGTAAATTGTAAAGCATGGGCTACCAACATGATCGACCAACCTACAATGATCAGAATATATCAAAGAAGACGAAGAAGCTCCAAAATAGTCAAGCTTTGTAACATAATTAAGTGATATGCAAATATGTAATAAAGCTTTACTTTATTTTGTTCTTTTAAGTAAGGTAGATCAAGTCTACCTATTTTTATTAAGGTATGTATTAGTTAGACTAAGCCTATCTTATAAAGTTCGCCTAACCAAATAGTATAAATAGCATTTATTGTAATAAAATAAGCATGAATGAAAATTTCTTGTTTCTCACCTTCTAGTTTCTCTTGGAGTCGAAACGTACTCTAAAGGTGCGCCACTTCTTGGCCCTCCATGAAGCATATTAGTTGGTGGAAATCTGCTAGGCACGGTGGAAAGAGGGCTGTGAAGGGGATTCTTGTGGGTTGCTGCATGCATACTGGAAAGGATTGTAGGTGGAGAAAGATCTTGTTGTGGATTGAGATTAGTGCAACAAGAGCACCATTTGATAAGCTTCTTGGCATCCAAGAAGAAAGGGCACCTTTAGAGTTGGTGTAGACTCCAAAAGAAGAAGAAGAGGAGAAGAAAAATTAGAAATTATTCATTCCATAATCTTTTCTTACAATAAGAGGGGTATTTGTAATGCTTGGTTAGACCAATTTTAAAATATAGAACCGATCTACCTAATACAAATTTAAAATAGAATAAAAGAAATAAACTAGTGCTTATTGCATATGTATAAACTATTTAATTTGTAATTTATTTGCCCAAAAGATATATTGCTATCCTTTGCTTGTTGTAGTGTCAATGTGGAATGATTTTTTTTCCTTCTTCTTTGATACTTGTAGGTTGGTCTGTCATGTTACAAGCACATACTTCTCAATTTGATTCCATTTTGGGATCTAATAATATTTGATTAAGTCTAACATATACATTTGTGTACACACAAAAATGAACTAATTTAAGCTAAATCAGCTGTGCACATGTATGTACAGCCCTAAAATCGAGTTTGCATGCGCAATAGTTGAAAGAATGTGCTTATAACACCTATACACAGGTGTGTGCAACTCATATAGTGAGTTTATACTGCCGTACACTTCTGTAAAAAATCAAAAAAAAAAAAAAAAAAAAAAAAAAAAAAAAAAAAGAAAAGAAAAAAACGTGTTCTAAAATACCTGTACATAGGAGTGTGCAACTAAAAAAATAGGTTTACGGGGATGCAAACAACATGTGCTACACTAATGATGAAAGAACTGCTGTGTACAACATAAAAATTGAGTCTACAGTTCATTTGCAACCCGGTAAATGAGCAAACATGCATTTTCAAGAAAAAAAAAAGACCAAACATGGCTAAAACACTTGTACATTGATGTGTAATGGCAAAAAGTTGAATTTATAAATTTACAAGTTAAATCGCATTTTTTTCAGCTTAATGCACATAAGATAAAATGAATAATAAAAGAATAAAACATCTATACATATGTGTGTATGAACAAAATATAATAAATAATATTATAAAAGCTTTTGATATACTTTAGACCCAAAATTGCACATTCAAAGAAGGAATATATATATATATATATATATATATATATATATATATATTCCTTCTTTTTAAATGCAGTTACATTCACTTTAATTTAATGGGCAAAAAAATTACCGAATAATATTTGAAATTGATTACATGGTGCCTGTTAAAAGATTCTGACATCAATAAATGATAAAAGTTGGAGAACAAAAAAGCTCCAGGCAATGTAAACTCTAGACTTGCATTGTGAGAAATCTTTAGATTTTCTTGGAGATCGGACGAAGGTCCTCGTTATGGATTTTGGGAAATCTTCAGACTTGATCTATGCACTAGGTTTTCATTTTAGGTTATAATTTTTGTCACATACCTTAAGTCTTGCATTTTTTAGCTGCATCTTTTCCATTTCTTTTTCAAAATGCATCAATCTCATATTTCATTCTATTGCCTGTTGGTAATTTATAATTTGTTAAATCTTTAAACAAATTGTTTCTTTCTTCTTGCCAACGTTGGATATCATACTCGAGGTAATTTATTCATATTAAAGAATCTCATGTAGGGTTGCAATGTTTTTCACAGAGAAGGATCTCATGTACCGTGTAAATAAAATTGTTTTTTTCGGCTTTAGGTACAGTATCCTGATTTGGAGCAGCGTATGAAGATAGATTTCACAACTATGACTATCCTTTCTAAATCGGTTTCCATGGTATGACGACTTTACAGTTTTAATCTCCAACTTCTATGTGAATGAAATAAAGCGCCTGAAATACTAAATTCACTTGCAACTTGGTCAATTTATACTTCTATTCAAATTTGCATTAAATTATCATTGGCTGAGCTTGCCTCCTCCCATTTTTGCCACATTATGTAATGGCTGATAATTGGTTCAGGTTTAAGTTGGGGACTTTGAAATCTATCTTTATATTTTAAGTTTAGGTCAATTAAAACTTAAATCTAACTAATGAAGGTGATAGAGGGACGAGAAGAAACCTTGTGTACACCAACTTCTACTTATCAACATACATAAGTTGGATCTTGAAAACACTCAATTGGCCATTCAAAATAATTTTCTTTCATATAACTATGTTCAATTACGAGCCATAAATCCCTATTTATGGAAATAGGGTTACAAGGACTAGACCAAAAAAACTAAATTCAATTCTAATCCATCTTAGAATGAAATTCAAGCTGAAAATTATCTAAAAGAAGATCCTGTGTCCTAATAAAATAAATCTAATGAAAATATATGAAAATTGATGTAAAATTAAGAATGAAACTAAAAATGCATAAAAATGGGAGAAATTTAGCTTTGTTCTGGTTGCTCACTTTCCCATCTGCCCCCTCAAATACTAAGCTTTTTCTCATATCCTTATTAAATTGGAAATTTTCTTGAAGATATAAATTGGAAATTTTCTTGATGATTTAAATATTATTTGCTTACAATATTATCGCACTGATCTTTGCTCATTCTCATCTTGCTTTAATTGGAAATTTTCTTGATCTTCCATACTTTTTGGCTGATCATAATGAAGATATAAATAAAATTGATGGTGCTGAAAGATTAAAATTGATGGTGCCAAAAAATATATATTATTAGATTTGTATCCGTTGGAATAACAAATTTGATAATTAAGGAGTTTGGAGATGGCCTCATTTTCATTTTGGTTGGTGATTTTGATGATATATCTACTAAAGAGAAAATGACTATTGTGTTCCTCTATGTGAATGGACAGGTCATGTTGAGAGATTTTTTGGTATTATGAATGCCTTTGAGACAACTAAATCCCATGAGGTCATTTGAGCTATTCTTTTGAACTAATGGTTTATAGTGTCTCAAGAATATGTGGTCAATGTTATGATGGAATTAGTAATATGTGGGTTGGTTGGGCTCTTCATGAATGAAAATAGATTTATATATTATATTCACTTTATTGCACACCAACTTCAATTGGCCTTGGCATTTGTTGTCAAAAGTTTTGTTTAAATTGATATACTATTATTTTAGTTTGCAATATAATTAACATCTTTGGTGCTTTGTGTAAACATCATGGTCTACTCAGGGATCACTTTGGTATTCTCTTTATTTTCTTCTGTTTAGACTATTTTGAAGGAAAGAAATGCTTGATGTTTCTCTAATGTTATTAATGCTGTGGAGATGTTTTGATTTGATATATTCTCGTTTGCATGCTTCTGAACCTTTAATGCTACTGTAAAAAGGCTACTGCCACCAGAGTGTAACTTTGATCTTTAACTTCCTGAGAAACCAATTGATCTTTGGCTATTATATAATCGGACGATTCTTGTTTTGTTTTTTCTCTGTCCATATTTATTGTAATTAGCTTTCTCCTATATCCCATCCTTTTATTTTAATGAAAAGGGGTTTTCCGCATCCGCGTGGAACTCTCTGTTTCGCTTCCACCTCGTATACTCACGGGCCGGTCTCGTGTGTTGGATTGGCTAGACCAGTCTATCAATACCCTCCTCCCAAAGACCCACCTTGTCCTCAAGATGGAAGAATGGAAATTGATGCTTCACTCTCTGGTACGGCTTCCATGTGACATTCATAATCGGATAGGTTCTTTCACTTCATCAACACTTTCTTGATTCTACCTTCTCCTTGTCATATCCCTTTCAGCTCCAATGGTTCAAACATCACCTCCAAATCCTCTGTCAGTGTTCCGGGTAACTCTGAACTAGATGCATGATCCCCAATAACTCTCCTTAACTGTGACACGTGGAACACTGGGTGTATGGTAGCGGTCAGGGGTAACCTCAAATGATAGGTCACTGCTCCAATCCTTTCCAATATCTCATAAGGGCAAAAGTACCTCAGATCCAGCTTCTCACTCCTGTTAGCTACTGTCCTTTGTCTGTAGTGATGAAGCTTTAAGTATTATCTATCCCTATCTCTAATTGGATGTCCTTCTTACACCCATCCAACCGTTTCTTCATGATATGTTAAGCCCTCAGTAGGTGCTTCTTCAATTCATCTAAAACCCTATCCCTCTCCTCCAAGTACTATTCCATTGAAAAAAATGGTGTGCTACTCTGCCCTAAGTACACTAAGTGCGGTGGGTCCCTGTCATACAACACTTTGAAAGGAGTCATCTGGAAAGCCGAATGATACGAAGTGTTTTACCCGTACTCTGCCCATGCTAGCCACTTGGTCCACAACCGAGGTGTCTCTGAAACAAAACATCGCAGGTACATTTCCAAGTTCTTGTTTACCACCTCAGTCTATTTGTTTGTTTGGGGATAGTAAGTGGTGCTCTTCTTTAGCACTGTCCCCTGTAGCGTGAATAAAGCTCTCCAAAAATGGCAGAGGAGCATGTTATCTCTATCAGACACTATAGACTCTGGTATCCCATGTAGTCTGACCACCTCCCTAATGAATGCGCCTGCCACTATCACTGTCGTGTAAGGATGTCATAGTGGAATGAAATGAGTATATTTGCTCAATCTAGTCATCAATACCAGGATCATTGTAAACCCCTCAGATTGGGGTAACCCATCTATAAAATTCATGGTAATCTCCTCCCACATTGTCTGGAAGAGCTAGGGGTTGTAGTAATCCCCCTAGAGCCATAACAATATATTTGCTTCTCTGGCATACCTCACATCTCGCCACCATCTTCTCCACATCCTTGTGTTTCACCTTCCAATACAATTATGCTGCCAATCTCCTGTTTGCCTTCTGCAAACCAAAATGTCCCCTAACAGCGCTCTCGCTCCCGTGGAACTCCTGCAGTAGGTGTGGAATATAGATTGAGGTCCGTGACAGCACAAACTTCCCCTAGTACAATAGTCTCTCCCTCTCCCCTTCCAGGGAATAGTCAGGGTGGCTGCTCTCATCTCTTAATTGATCTACTCTAATCCTTCTGAGATCCTCATCTTGCACACTCTCCTCTTTAATTTCCCCGCAATCTAACATCAGTGGTATCGAAATGGCTAACTCATGGAGCTTCCCCACGCATCTGAACGAGGCATCAACTGCCTTGTTCTCTTATCCCGACCTATATTAGATCTCAAAGTCATATCCCAACAGCTTTGATAGCCACCTCTGATGCTTCTCAGTCACATCCTCTGCTCCAACTTATACTTCAAGCTCATGTGGTACGTCCTGACAATGAAATGTCGACCCAACAAATAAGGCTGCAACTTCTGAATAGCTAACTCAATGGCTCCTCTTATAGACTGACTTTAGTCTAGCTTTGGCTGTCAACACCTGGATGAAGTAAGTTACGAGCCTGTGCTTCTGCATGAGCACTGCCCCCAATCCATACCATGATGCATCCGTCTCTACTATGACAATCTGGCTGAAATCTGGTAGTGCTAGGATTAATATCGTGGTCATGGCCTTCTCAATCTCTCAAAGGCTTGAGTAACTGTCTCTCCCCACAAGAAGCTATCCTTCTTCAGTTGCTCTATTAATGGTCAGGCTATGGTGCTGTATCCTCTCATAATCTCTTGTAGTACTCAGTCAACCCTAAGAAACCTTTCAGCTCCCTCAAGTTCCTAGGTAGAGGCCATTTCAGCATTGCCTCAATCTTGGCCTGATTAGTGGCTACCCTCTCCTAAGATATCATGTGCCCAAAGTACTCCACGCTGGCCTGCGCAAAACAACACTTCTTTAATTTGGCTCTCAGCTGATGCTCCTGTAACACTTATATGACCACCCTCAAGTACTTCAAATGCTTCTCAGCCGACCTGATGTACACCAGGATGTCATAAAAAAAATAGCAAGAACTTTCGGAGGTATGGTTGAAATACTCTATTCATGAGGGACTGAGAAATAATAAGGTTGTTGGTGAGGCCAAACAATATTATTAAGAATTCATAGTGGCTCTTATGTGTCTTCAGTGCAGCCTTCGGGACATCCTCCTATCTCATCCTAATCTGATGATATCCAGACTTTAGATCCATCTTCATTAACACCATTGCTCCACACAATTCATCCAGCAGTTCATCTACCACCAGAATGGGAAACCTGTCTAGCACATTCTCCGTATTCAGAGCTTGGTAGTTTACACAGAATCTCCAGCTCTCATTTTTCTGCTTGATCAGTAAGACTAGATTAGAAAAATGACTAACACTCAGCTTGATAATTCCTACCTCCAACATCTCTCAAACCAGCTTCTCAATCTCTTCCTTCTGAATCTAAGGGTAGCAGTGAGACCTGACACTAATCGATGACAGCCCCTCTCTCAAGGTGATGATGTGCTCCTGCTCTCTCGGTGGTGGAAAACCTAGAGGTGGATGAAAGACTTGCCTGAACTGCCATATAAACGACTGTACTGTAGGAGGAAGGTCCCCCCCCCCTTTATGCTTTGCAGCTCCACTAGAAATTCTCTTCCCACCTTCTGTATGGTCCTCACCATGGTTTTGAGTGATAACATGGCTTTGGATAACCCTGCATCACCCGTGATCATCATCATTCTTCCCTCCACCATCAGCTTCATCTTCAGTGCTACTCAATTAACCATGGTATCCCCCAAGGTTTGTAGTCATTTCATCCCCAGGATGATATTAGTGATCTTCAACTCCAATGGAAGGAAGTCCTCTCTCACCTGGACCCCCTGTATGATCAAAATCACTCCCCTACAAACTCCTCTACATGTTTCCACCTTCTAGTAACTATCATCACTCCATAACATCCTATGTCTACTAATTTCACCCCCAATTGATTTACAACTTGGTTGGAGAAAAATTGTGAGTAGCCCCATTGTCTATCAAAACTACCACCTCCATGTATGTTATTTCTCCTTTCACTTTCATGGTGTGATTTGGAATAAATCCCACCATTGAGTTCAAGGAGACCTCCACCATGTCTAAATGCAGCTCTTCCTCCTCTGCCAATGCCTCACTCCCACCTCCCTCCTCAGCTTCCTTGTCATCAAAGATGGCGAGAACTTAAAGAGTTCAGTACTTACACCTGTGCCCTGGGGTATAGCTCTTTTCACATCCGAAGCACAATTCCTTTGCCCTCTTCTCCTGAAGCTCTTTCTCAGTGAGATTCTTGAAATTTTTCTCAAATCCCCCTCCTGCAGGCTTCTTATTTTGGGTCTCTGACATGGTTTAAAATTGCGCAATATGAGGCTCGCCTTGAGGCCCGCCTTTGCGCAATTCCAGTAAAAAACGCCTCGATGCTTACACCTTGAGTTTTTTTTATGAGGCTTGCGCCTCAACTTGGTTGAGGCCCGCCTCACTGGCATGAAGCTTACGTCTCACGCTATATATATTAAAACTTACATAAATCTTGAAGTAAATGCCCGACATTGGACTCTATAGGAGAGGAGGAAGGGGAGAAAGCAGTTCATCATAATGATAATTCAAATGAAAAACCCCTTAGTGATGACAGTGCTGATGACTTATGAGTTTTTATGTGATATGTCATTGTTATTTATTTTTGGAAATTGAAATTATATTTTAATGAAAAGAATATTGAGATTTGGGAAAAGGAATTTTATTTTAAGAGAAAAATAGAGGAGAGAGAAAATAGAAGTTAGTATTTAAAGGCTCTAGAGCAATTTTTCTCCGTCAATCTTTTTGGGAGATTTGATCGCCCCATTGTAAAAAACCATTATTCTATTTCTGATTTCAATATGTTGGTGTTTTTGAAAATTTTCCAATCAAATTTGTATTTCCATTAACGAAAAATGAGAATAATTTTATATTGACAAAACTTTCACCGGATAACTTTTCATATGTTATAAAGAATTATAATTATGAAAGTTTTGAGTATTTATTTCAGATTTTCTACTAGTTGATTTTGAAAAAGCAATGATTTTTGTCATTTCAAAATTTATTTTTGATATGTAAAAATAGTGTTTTAGTTCAATTAAAGTTTCAGAATATTGTTATATATGATATCTGATAATTTGGTTAGTTTCTAAAAAATAAATTTATGCTCAGTAGGATTTTCTGTTTCTTATCGTTAAGCTATGTTGACATTTTCTGAATTAAACTCAATTATGTTTTTATTTACTGCAATACATTGGAAATGAATGTGTGCATCTAATTGAGTAATAGTTGGTCGATATTACTGTTATAGTATTGTGATAATAATATATATGTGTAAAAGACAAGTAAACACTAGTTGACCCTTTGGTTGGAGATTAATTGATCTGTACATGATTGTAGACTGACGGACTTTTTTTTAGTTATTGTGGTTGCATGTTATCATCTACTGATATAATAATACAACAATTGAGAGTTATAAGAAGTTATTATTGTGTCGACGGGCAAAGAGTGACGACTCTGTTTACTGAGCCAACAGTTTACTACTACTGATACAATACTAGAAAAACATCGATAAGCTAGGAATTTTTACTTGTTTAGTGTGACTACTGAAATACATGTTATTTAAGCATTGATAATATTACTGTGCGAATTTTTTTTTACTGTATGAATTTATTGTTATTGTGATTAGTAGTAGAAGCATTTATTGTTACTGTGCGGATGCCTTGTATCAGTTTATATTATGTACGGATTTATTGTTATTGTACAGACAAAAAGTGACGACTCTCATTTATTGTATTCTTATCAGTAATAGAAATAATAATAATTATTGTATGGATTTATTGTTACTATACGGTAATCTTAACCCTAGAGAGAATAACCTCCTTAAAGCAAATAATAATCAAGTAAATCCCTAAGCAACCCTCATTTGAATTTTCCCTCCTCCTAATGACCCCTAAAATCCTACTCTAATTCCTGTTAGACCCCACCTGGAGAGTGGGCAGGAGCTCCCCTAGGCAGAACTCCCAGTTCCGCATCCGCGCTGAACTCCCTGTTCCGATTCCGCTTCTATGCACATGGGCCATTCCTGTGTGCTGGACCGGTTGGACCGGTCTATCACACTCATACGTTAACAATGAGTGCTTGGATTCGTTGTAGCAGACCTTTCGTATTTCCTTACTCTCTTAGATTTGCTTGGAAATTGAGAATAAATTATATATAATGAGCGTCATTAATATTTAATACTATTGAAGAGGGCGGAACTGGGATAATTATCAGTTCCCCTCCTATAAGATAGTTACGAAGGTCTATCGGAATGTATGCAGCACAAAAGTTATAAAGACCACAGTTTACCATTTTTAAGTCTTTTTTTATTTTTTTTTATTTTGACATAATTCAGCATTAGTTTTTTTAAACTTGCTCTTTGTAAATATTATAAATCCTGCGTGGTCTGTGCACCTGGTCAAACCACTCAACTTGCACCTTACGGATGCTATTGCGTGAAAGTCAGCATTGCTCGATGCGTTACATAATATCTATTAGTTTCAAATGAAGGGATATTTTGGATTCATACTTTTCCTTATAAGACCTTGTTTTGTTTTCAGGTTTTTCCTGGATACAAGTTCGATCAAGTATTATCTGAATTTAAGAGAACAATTTCTCTGGAACTTGGTGTGTCCTATAATTTTTTTGGATGTTTGCTCTGCAGTTTGATACTAAAAAGTCGTTTATATATATTTATTTTAATCATGTATAAAAACATTGATGGATTTTTTTCCTGCACAATGGATATTAAATCAACTAGTTATGGGGTTAGTTATGTTTGTGATTTGCCAATTCAATTTACGAAGAAGTTTACATTACTAATTAAAATGAGATGTTTCGTGTCCAGTTCATCTGACTTGCATTTTGGTTTCCTCGCCTTAACTTGTCTCAACATAACTCACTTGTATATGCCAAATACACGCTGCTTAAAAGCTTTCATATTATTATCATTTGAAATAAACATTGAGTATATTTTTTTGCTGCAACTGGCCTGGGAATTGTGAACTTGAATGATGCGGGGAATTTGAAAATAAGTACCTTAAGCATTATCTGACCTGTTTATGGGATTAGACATAAAATTAATAAGACACATGCATATCAGTTGCCGCATTATTTTCTTACTTCACATTGTGTAATGCTTAATGAATCTGAGTTCATGCCATGACTCGACAGGGATTATATTTCACGTTTTCACAAAATGACTAAGGAGTAAAGATTCTTCTAAAAATAAAATATTATTAGACTTGAAACCATATTTAAGATGAGTTTGGTGCTATTGAATTTGATGATACAGAGAGAAGGTTTCTTCCTTTATGAAGAAGGAACTTCCTGCATACGTGAGCAAGACATGTTATGTGCAAAAGTTAATTAGACCTGTTCTTCCAGATATTGAGAGGATTGAATTATATCATATTTAGGAGATCGTTTGCAGGCATGGAATGGCAATGTAAATGAATGCCATTTATAGCTACTTTCTGATAAATGTTATGCTAGAGACTTACCCTACAATTAAGCCTTCTTACTACTGTTGCTCCTTTGTAGTGTCATTATGCAATTTTTAATTTGGCGAGCGTACAATTCAGTTTCCACATTTGAATTAATTGAATTTTGGAGTAAAAATCTAGAAGCAGTTTGACTTTTAGGGAGATATCTTTAAGATAGTGCTTTACTCATTGTGATTCATTAACATGTTAATTGCTTAGTATTTTCATTTTTTTAGTGCTATGAAAATGCGTTCTTTACTTAATTGAAGCCCAGAGCTAACAAATAACAACTTTAATAGGGAAAAACACTTAAAGGGATACAAATATTCAACAATCTTAGGTGCAATAAATATGACGTTAGATCAAATATTTACAATAAAGATAGGATGCAACTTAAATTTCAATTAATACAAGTCAAAAAATGGTTGATATGCACCTTTCTGAAGAATAACTAGCAATAATGGATATGAAACCCTTGTATTCTTAATAAATTATTAACCAATTATATTGAGTGCACAACAAAATTATGGAAAAATAGCTGCCGGAAATAGAGGAAAGGGCATGAAAAAGATCAAACATAGGAAAACATGGACAGGGGAAATCACTTCAAGAAATAATAACACGGAGGAACGGCATAGGAAAAGGTTGACAAGGTGCATAGGTGGAGGAATGAACACTAGGGACAGCTAGTGGAGAAAGTAGCATGGGAATAGGACATGATATGGCCAAAAGGGTCGTATATTTCTGCAGCTCTTCTATTGAACCAAAAGAGTGGGGTGCCAGATTACATCAATATATGAAGCACTTCTGGTGCCACCTTTCATTGCACCATTTATGCATGGTGATCTTAGGCCAGCTTCCATCCACATTATTTCAAAAGTGTGTACTTTGTTTCACGGTTAACAAAGCTATTCACAATATTCACTTATTGTATCTTAGGAAATCATTATCCTTGTACCCTGAACTGGGTAGAAGTAACTTGATTTATTCGCCTTCAATTTGATCTAGTTTATGTTTAAAAGCCTAGCATTGCTTGAAAGGCATAATTGCATTGCTAAGTCTAGCAAGTTTGAGTAAATAGCCTTATTAAGTAAGCCATAGACGTGACAAGGTTTATTGCATCGATCATTTATGTATGATTTCTTTCTAAACCATTAATCAAAGTATCAAACTATTATTAAAACCTTTAATCATCATGCGACAGTGAAAGTTTTTTTGTAGTTTAGAAGAACTTTTTGCTAAATAATCCTAATCTTGTGGTCCGCATCATGACATCTATAGCAATTCAATAATCTGTGGGCAACAACTTTTCATGTACTATAATTCATAGACAATATTTTATTTTTTTATCAAATGATTCTAGTGATGTACAATATATATATATATATATATGTATAGAATAAGAGAATAAATTTAATCATAAAATCTCCAACTTTCTCCTCATTATAATTTTCAAGATGGTATCAAAGACATTATGGTTTTACTTTTTTTTGGGCCGACAAGTCCTTTAACATGAAGCGTGGAGTCTCTCCTCTGAGATGATGAGTCCTTCACCGACATTGAAAACCAATCTCTTTCCAACAAGGGTAACGAAAACACATGTGAACTATCCTCTTGGAATTAAAATGTGGATGCAACTGACACAAATAAGCCAATTGTTAAGAAGGCAACAACCCCAATGCTAAAACTCCTGCTCTAAAACATGTAAATTTCATAATAAAATATTGGATCAAAAATTTTTAAAGAGAACTAACAACAAAGAAAAATATCAATAGCTCTCTTATTCATGTTTCAGGCATCTGGACAACAAACTGAAGATAGCTAATTATTCTACTTAAAATAAGCTTATCAGGAACATCATTGAAACAAGCTAAATTGCTCAAAATGGTAAATACTCAAATGCCCTCATCCAAAAAAAAAAACTTACTACTTGGATGGTAGACTCGAGTGTTAGATCATATGCCAAAAGACAAATATATTTTCCACAATTACAACCAATGACATGGAAATTATAATATTCAAATTGTAGAGGGGTCACTCTTTTGAAATGGCTGGAAAATGTTATGGCATTCTCTCAAAAGATTTAGCACTTGGTATTTTGCTTCTAATGCATGGCATAGATTGCAACTTTCTATCTATCAACAAACTTACTCGAGACAGAAATTGATTTTTCATCCAATCCTGTTACTATAAAATTTTAAAGATTTGAACTTGGGGAGGATAATTGATAGTGCAAAGATGTGTTTAGGACTCTATCTTCTAATTAATGAACTTTCTAATAAGGTATACGCTCAAATAGTTGGTTGTGCATCCAGAAAGACCTCCACATAAAATTAAAAACGCACTTCAAATAATGATAATGATGTCTAGCTTTAGCACTATCACTCATAATACTTAGACTTTGAAAATTTATTCATTCTCTATTAACTAGCACAAATTCAAAGGACTTCCAATGTGAAATTTTCTATTTGGCTAAACAATTATCGTTTCTATCCCAGTCAAACATACAAACCTTTCCAACCTTTTCTTTTAATACACAATGATTTGTAGGGATCATCCATAGTCAAAGTAACTTTTAGAGTTAGATAGTTTATTTCCTTCATTGACAGTCATGCCCATCTCACTTGGGTTTTCCTAATGAAAGAATATTTAAAATGTTAAAATTTTTTAAATATTTGAACACCATGACCTATACTTAATTTCAAACCTAAAAATTGATAATGATTTGTGGTCATCTCAAATAGTGAGAAATACCCTAAAATCATTTTTAGTTTATGCAGTTATCCTTATATTTGATTAATTGCCTAAAAAATATAGATAACTATGCAAATTCTCCAGAGATGATAAAGTTTTTGGAAAGATACTTTGGTGCCTCTATTCATGAATATTAGAATATAAAAAAACGATAAACTAAAAAAATACTTTTTATTAAAATGGAAACATAAGTTTAAGCTATAACATTAAATATATAACCATGCGTTTTGGCATTTCTGTCCCCTCCATGTTTGAATAGCATGACTATCATACAACTAGGGTTACCTGTTAAGATTAATAACTAAAAATTCTGTTAAATCGCTTTTACAAAAGTGACCCATTATCTTAAAATATTAATTTATGAAGTAATAGAAATATTGCTTCACAGAAATTCTTAAAGAGTAACTTTCTGATTACATAATGCTACATCTGCATTCCTGAATCAGCACACAAGGACAAAAACAGAGAAAAGAAAATAAAATAATAGAAAAAATAATCGATTGTGGCACCTTGCAACACAGTTCAAATGTCACACCCCATTTTGATTCCCTTCAATTAACCTAAAGTATAATAGATAGAGAGGATTTGAATAGATATATCTCTTACTAACACACACCTTGAATTACTTTTATGAGGATCGAGTGAGTAGGAAATAATCTATCTAGATTATCCCAAAACAATAAAATTTCCCATTTTAACAACTTATTGACAAATTTCATATTTGGAAGCATATTCAAAACACCTCAAATAAAATACAAAGGTTAATTAAATTTTCAAATAAAGTTTACATACCTTAAAGTGTTACTGTACAATTTATTGCTTTGACTTCTATGTACAGCCAAAACCTATGTATACAAAAAAACATTCACCTCCTGCCTAGAGCCTCGCTGGCTCTTTCCTTTTTCCTGCAGTACAACTACTGTTAGTAAGCTAAATCTCAATGAAATACATTATCTTAGTACAAGAAATAAGAAACAATAATCTGCAATGAATTATAAATGATATTTGACATACTATAAAACAATGATAAGCTTTGTAAAGGATTAATGCATACAATGGTGCACTGTTTATTCTTTAACTTTCCATATATCTTTGGTTTTGTTTATTTTTCAATACTTTAGACAAGTCATATGATGGCTATAAATTTTTGCATACTTACATCTCTCATTTAATATTGGATCCAAATTACCAACTGTTTTGAAGAGAGAGTCAGGTATTTTCTATACGGTCTCTAGGGCTTATCTTGTCAGGTTTTTCGCATTTGCTTGTGCGGGCCTATCCCTCACATATGATTTTACTCATTTACTTCTCATTAAACTTCCATTTTTAATATCATACATCTGTATGTCCAATAACTCAGCGAATGATGCACTCAAGTGGACTAGTAAA